TCGCATGTTCGTTCTCCTCCGTGTTGTATGTTCTTTCTCGATCGGTTGGGATCCAAGCCTCGATCGGGCGTCGGGCTTCTGCTCCATAAACCAGGGCGAAAGGGGTCTCCAAAGTAGCCTCCCTTGGGGTCGTCCGATAAGTCCACAATACATATGGCAACTCATCGGCCCAACTACGACCAGCCGAATGTAGCTTCTTTTTTAGACCTTCCAAAATCGTCCGGTTAGCATTTTCAACCTGTCCATTCCCCTGCGGGTAAGCCACCGACGACCGGACGTGAGTCGTCCCGATCGTGGCCAAGAAGTTTTGGAAATACTGGCTTACAAATTGGCGGCCATTGTCACTGATGAGATGCACAGGCACGCCAAAGCGGGAAATCACATTGCGCCAAAGGAACCGAGCACACTGCTGAGATGTGATCGTGGCTAACGGCTCGGCTTCTATCCACTTGGAGAAGTAATCGATGGCGACAATCACGAACTTTCTCCGACCGGAGAGCTGAGGGAAGGGGCCCAAGATGTCTACCCCCCACCTAGCAAAGGGAATTGCAGTCGTGACTGGCTGATAGAAGGTTGCCGGTCGTCCAGGCATCCGGGCAAACAGTTGGCACGTCTCACATTCCCGAGCTAACTTTTCACAGTCTAGCTGGAGGGACGGCCAATAGTACCCGATCAGCATGATACGACGGGCTAGTGATCGGCCTCCTTGGTGCGAAGAACAAATACCCGAATGCAATTCCTTCATGACCAAATCAGCCTCAAATGCGGTCAAGCAACGCATAAGAGGGCCTCCGTACGATCGCCTGTAAAGACGACCGTCCAAGACTTGGAACCTTGGGGCTCTAAGCTTGGCCTTTCGAGCACGTTGGGGGTCGTCCGGAAGTCGACCGTGCTCGAGGAACTCCTTCAGATCGGTGATCCAACTGTCTTCTACCGGTTGGATTGGATTGACCGGTAGGCGATGGATGCTGTGTCTCGGGATCACCAGAATCCGAGCTATTTTTGACATATGTTTCGAGAAGCGTCTTCCAATCCACCAAAAATGACGTGGATGGTCGGCTTTCCTGATGGTCGGCTGCTAGACGGAGGGTCAGGGTCCCGTCGGTCATCATGACGATCGTCTCTTCGGTCCTGACCTGACCGATCGGAGCGTCCCTCACTATCAGAGCGATCGGAGCGATGATGGGAACGCCGGTGATCTCTCCGATCGGTATTCCTCTTGGTGTCCTCTCTCTTCCCCACACACTTGTCCAATTTCCCAAGATTGAGCAAATCCTCCAACAGTTGGCGCAAGTGGGTACATTCCTCAGTGTCATGCCCGGCACATCGATGGTAAGTGCAATGCTTACTCTTGTCAGGGCCGTCTCGATCGGGATGGGGGAGTTTGATGAGATTGCAGGACTGAGCGTATTGCATGGCCTCCGCTGCGGATCGGTTCAAGGCCGTAAACTCACCAGGCCTGGTGCGGGATCGGGGATGGTCATCACCCGATCGGTGTTCCGCCCGCCCGGCCGGTTTACGGGACGAAGACCCGACCTCCTGCTAGCGCTTTACGGCATTCGCCTCGCCGGCGTTGGCATAATCTGTGACCCTTCGAAGGGCCTCCTCATAAGTGGCCGGGGGGTGTAGAATGAAATCCTGATACAAATAACCCGCCCGGAGGGAGATGTGAAGCATGTGGGTGGCGGTCGCATCATCCATGGGCTCGACCTCCCCGACCGCCGCCTTCCATTTGATAAGGAAATCGGTCAAGCTCTCCCCTTCAAGCTGCTTGGCCTTCTCCAGGTACATATAGGGCTTCTTCACCACCTTGGAGGTGATGAATTTCCTCACGAACTTGATCGCCAGGGCATCAAAATTGTCGATTGAACCCGCCTGCAAAGTTCGGAACCATTCCGCCGCTCGACCGGTAAGCGTGGAATAAAAAGCCCTACACATTACGGCGTCTGATACGCCCTTCAGCATCATATTGCCGTAGAAGTCATTGACATGGACCTCAGGGTCCGTACGGCCATCGTAACTTTTCTCCCCGGAGACCTTTAAGTCAAGCGGGTAAGGCTGAGCCATCACTGCCGCTATAAAAGACGTCCGGAGTAAGGTCGATTGGTCGACCGGGGGTGTTGCAGGGTGCGCGTTTCTGAATTGCGCAAACTCCGCCTGGAGGTTGTAGAGCAATCCTCGGGTCTCGTTGAGCTCGACGGCTTGGGCAGCTTGGGCTGCGTCCGAGCGCGTCGTCGTCGATGAGATCTCGACCCGCTATGCCCGGATGAAGCCTCCTGGCTGGCTTCCTGCATCTGTACGTCTTCCGGCTGGCGGTTCAGGTCTTGGGGGCCCAAACGTTGCCGCATCTCCGGTCGAAGACGATCAAAAGCTACCGCTCTGACAACTTCTTCGGGGTCCTCCACTTGGGTGGGAACCTCGGCTGCTTGCTGGGCCTGCCGTGGTGCCTCCATCGCATCAGCACCCCCCGACCCCAACCGCGAACGAGCCGAGCGTCGAGCCCGGGAAGCGGGCTGATGCTGCGGCTCTACTTGTGCGGCCGGGTAGACTGGAGGGGCGGCGGCTGGAGCCGTGTACGCAGGCGTATAAGGTGGATAACCAACCTGGGGCGTGTAATACATCGGTTGGCCTGGCCAATACCCGTACGGCTGAGGTGGGACCGGGTATGGATACTGGTCGGGATACATCATCGGCTGTTGTGGATATGGTTGACCGGGTGTTGGGTACCCCGGATGAATGTAGTTCACCGGCTGTTGGGCGGCCGGGTATGTGTTTGATGGATGTGGTGGTGAGAGATTGAGGTTGAGGTCCATCGTCTGACCTTGTTGTTGTGTTGCCTGGTGGTCGGATGAGCTCGCTGCATCCGCCTGGTCATCAGCAAAGAGGTTTTGTGCCCATGGATACATTGTTGAAGAAGGATGGGGTGCTCGTCAAGACGTTTGCTTTCTTGCACGGGTCCCCACAGACAACGCCAAAATGATACTGCTAATTGCCACGTACGCAGTAAATAAATAAACACGAGACCAATTAAAGCAAGTAAATATCTTTATTGATCACGGTGAAGGCCCTAAGTACAATCTACTTGGTTGCTTTGAGTACCGACTGACTGCGGTCGGGAATCTCTAACAACAACCTATCGATCGTCCAAAAGTCCCTCACACTGTAGCTACTGTGGGTATTTATAGCCGCTGCGCCGGAAACACAAATCCGGTCATTCGGCATGCTCTCCACGTAGCCACCACGTGTCATCCTCCCGGGTGCCCTGTCTGTCTTCGCAAGGAGCCGCCACGTGTCCTTTATCAGCTCTCTCGCCAAAGGGCCACCGCTCGGTGGTCGACACTGCCGCTCGGGCAACTCCCGGTCGGGGTGTCGGACCCCGACCGGGTTCTTCACAAAAAGCCCGACCTGTTACCTGCAAAGACAAGAAGAAAAGACAAAGGCAGACCAATCGGGGTAAAATTATGTCGGTCGGGATATCCCCTACCAATCATATATTACTTTACCAAGACTATGTGATCTAATGGTACGTGGATTGGACTTTCATTTGGAAGGTTGTGATTTCGAGCTTCAGTTGAGAAAGTATATGAACAGATACTACATTGTAATAGAGCCAGTAGCATTAAAAAATTATAAAATGTTTTTTTAAGTATATAATAATAATAATAATAATAATAATAATAATATTAATAGTGGGAAAAAAGAAAAACACACCTGCTACTAGACCACATGTCATGACGGCATGTCTGCAGTGAGAGGACTCAATGCCACATGAGAACCCCAACTTCATCTTGCAACTTGCAAATAATAATAATAATAATAATAATAATAATAATAATAATAAGAGCGATTTTCATGTGAAACAATACCACTGATTTTTGTATGTGGGATGGGTTGAATCAAGATGTAAATATAATATTTATATTGAAAATATAATATTAATAATAAATAAAGTGTTTGTCACTTATAATAAAAATGTAATATTTTAAATCAAAAGGTAAAAGTACACTAGTTTTCATTATAAGTAACAAACAAATTATTATTAATTAATATTATATTTTTATTTTGATCCAACCGACTCACGGGCAAAAAAATTGTGATATAATCTCACATAAATTTTTGGCTAATAATAATAATACTTTAAAATAATAATAATAATAATAATAATAATAATAATAATAATAATAATAATAATTTTAAGGAATCATTAGCCTCGGTTCCAATTGTATCAAGTATATTAAAGTGTGTACGAAATTTGTGGGTCTATACTCTATATATTGGATACAAGAAGCATGGATGCTGATCCGTGTCATATATATTTACAATGTATTAGTTACAAATTCAATATCATTTGCTTTATAAAATAATACATCTTATTTTTATTTTTTAATAATGAGCAAGTACAATTTGTAAAGCACATAATACAATTTTCCAAAGCAATTTTTCGCATTTTACTTTCAGGATTACATTTTCTCTGAATAATATTTTCAGAATGTTTACATGATTATTTTATAGGATGAATACATAGAAATAAAAGCTCCTATAAGAGTAGGATAGAAGAGTTTTGATAAGCTCAAACTCTTTTGATATTATCTAATTTGTTAATTAGATAATATCAATATTATCCAAAATATATAAGATATATTCAAATATATTAATATTGATAAATATGATTTTTTATTTTTTGAACTAATATTTCAATATATTATATAATTAATAAAATTATATTTTAAATTTATGTTATTGACAAAATAGTGAATACACAGTATAAATTTATTATTTATTATTATTAAAAAAGAAAAAAGAAAACTTTTTAGAGAGGAACATTCACCGCAAACACCGCCAAGGCCAGCTTGCCACTTAGGCTCGGAATTATGCAAACCGGGAGGTTCGGGGTATCCAGCTGTGTACAGCCTGTCCTTCCCGGTCCCACAACAAAATATTTTTTAATCCATTTTAATTTTCCATATCGAGTTTGGTTTATTCGCTGGTGACAGCCTGTCACCAACAATGTACCCTGATCCTCTCTCCTCTCTCGATTTCCTTTGGTCCTCTTCCCTCACCTTCCACTCTCTCTCCTCTGCAATCCCCATTTCATTCATCTCTCTACCCATTTTCTCTCTCTTAGGGTTTTGCAATCACCTCCGGCGTGCTCCTCGATTCGGCGTTCGTGTTCCACGGATCCACCTTCTCCGACTCGTAAGCTCCCTTCTGATCCGCGTTTTCCTTTCAGTTCTCGTCTTGTTCCGCTTGAAACTGCGGTTTTCTCTGTGCATGTTGAGAGCAATGCAAAAGGATATGTTTTAGTGTTTGAATTGTTCTGTTTGTGCACTGTGTTAATCCAACCGAGGTTGTGTTTTGGTGCTGTGAGATACTTTTAGTTTATTTTTTAACCGTTGCGGTAATTTGTTCTCTGCTCTTAATTAGTTTTGCTTATTGATGAATCATTTTGGAAATTTATGCATATATAGATGTATGTTAGTGCGTTTTTTTACTTTAAGTTCATGTGTAGTTGTTGTGCTCACTGCTCAAGCAATGGGGATATGTGAGCTTATTAAAGTGCTTGAGTAACTTTTTGGAGGGAATGCCATAGGTTAGGTAGGTGATAAGCATTGGAAAAGTAAAAGGTGGCATTGTAAATCACTTGAACAAATTGGGATTTGCTATTAGTAAATGGAAGGCCTTGATCCTACTTTTTAAAAATATGCCTTTTTAATCGTTAAATTTTTTGAAAACATGGCTGACGGTGCTGGTTTGATTTGATGTACTCCCTTATTGATGCGAAGAAGAGAAGGGTTTTGGGAGTGGAAATTTAATGAAGGTTATATTCAAATGTGATTTAATTTGTCATATTGAAGAACAGTACACCTGGCATCTCTGCAAATGTATTAATTGTGGAAGTTGCACTTATGTTTTGAATTTGAAACTCCAGCTAAACATTAGTTAGGAATCTCTTGCTTCTGTTTCTCTTCACCAACCTGCCTGTTTCTTTGTTCCTATATTCTATTTCTACATGCGGTTTAATGAATAATAATTCTATACTATTTTTTAGGGTATTTGGCTTTATGGTTGGTTGCATGGGCTAAGTCTTGAAGGTTCTCAGTGTCACCAGCATTATGAATGGTGCTTGAAATTCCCTCTGAAGGAGTAACTATCAATCTGGTAGTGGTGAAAGCTGAGAAGATTGGGTGCTGGGAGAACTTTGAAACAATCCTGGACTCTCTGTTTCTCAACATTGTCCCGAGTAGGTTGTTGGTTTGAGAATCATCATATGGTTATTTTGGGGCCGGCAGGAGTTTCCACACATCAGTTTGAAATCTGTGCTTCGTACTTCCAGTTGCTGAGGAGTGAGGGTTTATGTACTAGAGGATTTTCTGGTATCCATGCTGACAGAGAGCATGCGTGGAATTTGTGCTTTGGGTAATGCCCCATTTGAAAGAAGTTGGTGATGCACTAGGTGTGTTGACAATTTGTCTTGTTGCTCTCTTGGTTCTACTTGGTTTATTTTGCATCCTGTATTTGGTCTACTTCCACGCACGGATCCGCGGTCAAGGCTATAACCAACTTGGTTATTTTAGTGGTCCTTGGATTATACGAATCACATTTATACTTTTTGCAATCTGGTGGGGTATTGGAGAGGTTCTTAGGTTGAGTCTGTTGAGACGTGACGGACGATTGTTAAATGCTCTTAGTTGGAAATGGCAGGAAACTGTTTGCAAATGCTACATTGTTTCGAATCTGGGGTTTGCGGAACCCTGTCTCTTCCTCATTGTTGTGTTTCTTCTTCGTGCATCCTTACAAAAGTCGGTGACCCTGAATCGGAAATGGAATGGCAAAACAGCAGCTTATGTTCTTCTCTTTTGCATCCCAGTGTTTGTTCTTCAGCTTATAGTCATTTCAATTGGACCAAAATTTAACAAGGAGAGTGACGTGCACAAATTGCCACATTACTTTACGAGAGCTGCCTCACCTAAAACAAAGGATGATGGTGATATTGCCCTCTGCACTTACCCTTTACTGAGTACCATATGCCTTGGTCTTTTTGCTACCATTTTGACTTGCTATTTGTTCTGGCTTGGGCGAAGAATCCTGCATTTGGTCATCAATAAGGGTTTGCAAAAGAGAGTATACACATTAATCCTTTCCGTTTCAGGTTTTTTACCATTAAGGGTTGTATTGCTTGGTTTATCTGTTCTGTGTACACCAGGAGGATTAGTCTATGAAATTCTTGCTTTCTTGGGGTTTCTTTCCCTTTTATGTTGTGCGGGGGTTGGCATATGCACACTTGTGTACTTTCCTGTTGCCGATTCTTTAGCTTTGAGGAAACTACAGAGAGATATAGAGGCTAGGCAAAGGGTGAGTGATGATCAACATAACGACACCATTTCTCTAATTGCTAACCAAAGCCTTCCTGGAGGAAGTATTGCAACTAGTCCCGGCAGAAACTCAGCAGCTTCAACAAAGCGAGGATCAATTTCTTTTCGGACAATGGATAAAGATGACACTTCCGGGGCCTTTGTGGAGCTCAGCCTCTTCTCTCCAAGTCAGCATTCGAGCCCTCCCGACTCACCTCAACTTCTTGGCTGGCCAATGCTCCCACCTGCAAAAAGAGTTCCTGTTTCCTGATAGCTGCAGAGTTAAAAAGAAGAGTCTTGGTGAACCCCATTTTTGTGGTGAAGAAACTCTGTAAAGATTTTTAGCTTTTATAATAAGTACTGCTCTTTTTTAGTTTTCACTTTTTAAAAATGTTATGATGATTTGACTGCTGTCCACCTTATTTTTTTGGTGGAATTCTTGATCTATGAGCTGCTGTATCTTTTATGTTTTCTTCCAGTTCAATACTTTTCTACAAATTTATTGATGCTTGAGAGATAAGAAATACACCTTTTCAAGTCCGAGAAATTTATGGCTGGGTGGTAACTTTCATTACTCAGCTTTCAAGTGTCAGACCGTACTTATGGCTTGAATGTAAATATAGTTTGGTGAAGTTCCCTTCGTATTTATTGCCTACTTTTGAATTGATTGACGCTTACCGATATTGAAAGTAGAGGTGTGCATTCGGACGATTTGGATGACAGGGAGGGAACTCCAAACGGATTTCGGTTTTATATTTTTGCATCCAAACCGATCACTGCAAGTCTGCAAGCATTATAACCATCAGATTTTTTAAATTTCGGATGCATTCTCGGATTTCGGATTAGATTCGGTTTGAAAAAAGAATTGAAAATTGGAAAATATAATACAAAATAATTAAAATATACATCTTCCAAAATGCAAATTACAAGTGATAAAGCCATTAGTCATATAATAAGTTACAAAAAATTTAAAATATACACAAAATCAGAAATGAAAGAAATCACAGAATCAATGAATCAAAGTTCACTTCACAAGTTTAGAATTGCACAAGGGCGTGTATTTGTGTGTGCGTGAGAGAGAGTAGATACAACACATAATTATAGATGATGATAAATTGATAATTTCCAACCACCGCTCACGCTCACCATACCATATCATGCATTGTGCTCCTTCAAATGGAATATTAAGCTGGGACGCAACTACTTGTGCGGTATGAAGATCAGAAGCAATCCAATCCCAAGTCTGACAACACACACTTTTGAAATCAAACACCATCTGCTCGTTGCTGATCGATCAGAACTCAGAGAATCGGAGAAGAGTAAAGAGAGAAGAGAAGAAAACTCATGTAATGAGAGAAATGGGAGAAGGTCCGAACGATGAAGAGAGCAGAGAGTTGAAGTCCAGAAGCTCTGCGACTGCGCTCAAATGAGAATAAGAGAAACAATAGTTTATAATATATATTTATATGCAGGTAAAACGATGTCGTATGCAACAATACAAAAACCCTAACCCTATATATTTTTGGATTTTCGGACGGGTCGGGGATAAAAATAGCCTCCTATATCCGAATTCAATAAACCGACAAACATACATTGATCGGGTTGGTTTTAGGCTTTCGAATTTGGATCGAGTCAGGTAGCTGTTCTCCGGTTCTCGGATCGGACGAAAATGTCGGATGGATCAGATCTTGCACAGGCCTAACTGAAAGAAAATAAATTTACTTATTTATTAAATACAAAAAGAACAACTTAACTATTGCTATGTATAAAAGTAAAAATATTATGAGGAAAATTATAAAGGAAATATAGTGAGCAAGGATTCGGCAAATTCGTCAAATTCGTTCTGATCAAATTCGTATCCACTTAGTGAAAACTCACCACTAGTGAATTTGATACAGATATGACTTAAAAAAAATTCTCTATATTCAATCTGCTCCGCTAATTCATTACCAAAACGACGTAGTTATATATGTGTGTGGGGGAGGGGTTATAGAAATATCTTAAACACTCATTGAATTTGAAAACATTCTCTAATAAAAATTAGAAAATATTATCTCGTTGTGGTCAATAAGAATTGGTTCTTAATTTGCTTAGATGAACAAATTGGAAATTGAAAAGAATCAAAAGTCTTGAAGTTGAAGAAGGTTCAAAATAAATATTGAAAATCATCAAAAGGAGATTAGAAAGCAAGACAGAATTAGGAAAGTAGTCAAACAACATTCATGTGGGAATTGAGTCATTGACTACTATGTAGTTAGACCTGGCAATTCGTGTATACGGGTTCGTTAACGGGTCGACACGATAATGACACGAACACGATAAGGCTAAACACGAACACGACACGATAAGGTTAATGGGTCCAAATTTGTAACACGTACACGAACACGATTTGTTAACGGGTTAAACGGGTTGACACGATAGATACGTTTTGTTAATAGGTTTCGGGTCGTGTCAACACGATATGACACGAAACACGTTTAAACCCACTAAACCTATTAATATATTAAAAAAAAAAACTAAAATTTAAAGTTAAATTATATATAAAAGAAATAAAACCTACAATTAAATCAATCAAACAAACTAAAAAAATATTCAATTTATAACATTCATAAAATAATAAAATAATATCCAAAAATCATAATTAAAGAAGTCCATGCCTAGTTTTAGAATAAAATTGAACACAATAAAAGTTAAAACTTCATATTGTTGAACGTCAATAATTGGTGTAAGATTTTAGCCTAATGTAGTAAATTCATCCTTAGTCATGTACTCATGTTCAAGATATCTTTTGTAATCTCATTCATGACAATGGTTCTTGGCGGGTTCTAAACAGGTTTGTGTAAACGGGTTCGTGTAAACGGGTTAACACGATAATATTAACGGGTTAAACGGGTTCTTAATAGGTTTAACAGGTTGACCCGTTAAGACACAAAACATAACGGGTCCTTAACAGGTCAACCCGTTAACGACCCGGGACATGTTAAGGCTAAACACTAACCCGTTATTTTCGTGTCGTGTTAACGGGTCGTGTCCATAATTGCCAGGTCTATATGTAGTATTTTAGGCATATCTTTGTCTATAATGGTCTAATTGAGATGATTCAAGTTGTACTGGAAAGCTAACTCATAATGCTACAACTTTTTATGAAGGTATAAAATTTTAAATTTGAGATTAAAATATCAAAAATCAAGGTAAATATGAATTAGTGAATATTTCTAGAAAAATTCAACAACTTCTAAAAATTATTCTAACCGATTTTATTTTCAGCAACTTCTATGTATATATTCTTCCAAGAGGAAGAGAGGGGTCAAATTTTATGGGTGTTGCTATTTGCACCACCCTTTGACTAAAATAGGGTATAAAGTACATTGAAAGTATAAAAAGGTGATAATTTATAATAAATACATAGGTGGTGCATATAGCCTAATGGGTGGTCAAAATGCTATTTGCACCACCTAGTCAAACTGCATTTATTAAATTTAAGAAATAATTAATTAATTCAAAATTTAATTCTTTAAAAATAAAGAAAAAAAACCGGTCACCTTCTCCGGTGAGAAGGCAACTGGGCTGCCTTCTCGCCTTCTCCAGTGAGAAGGCAGCCCGGTGGGTCGCCTTCTCACCGGAGAAGGCGACCCAGGTAGATTTCTACCTCGGTTGCCTTCTCCGGTGAGAAGGCAACCCACAGTGGATTGCCTTCTCACCGGAGAAGGCAACCCAGGTAGAAATCTACCGGAGAAGGCGACCCACTGGGCTGCCTGGAGAAGGCAGCCCAGTTGCCTTCTCCGGTGAGAAGGCAGTGTTGCCTTCTCACCGGAGAAGGTGGCGTTTAGTTTTTTTTTTTTTTTTTTTTTTTTTTTTAATTAATAATTTAATTATTAAAAAATATATAAAATAAATATTAGTCTTTAACCACATTAAATGATTATGGTGCAAATAGCAATTTTTAATGAGCACCATCTATAAAATGGTTTTACCTATTAAATATGTGCAAATACTAAAAGAGGTGGTGTAAATAAAATTTTCCAATTTTATTTTGTAAACTTAAAATCCGCACCCTATGTGTATGCGGATGCAGATGAGATTTTTCAAGTCCAGCGGATTGGATGCAGATTCTCCCCAAATCCACTCCGCGCTCACTCCTAGAATATAGAATAACTCAATCCATATATTATAAATGCCACCATTTTTAATTTTCAAGTTTCAGTGAAATAACGCTTTTGGTCCATCCGTTAATGAATTTATCAAAATGTTTCATTATTCTTCAATAATTTTAGTTGACTATAAATATTAATGAAAATTTACTACCTGTTTCTCTTTTTCTCATAAATACCCCAACTATACATTTTTGTGGCAAAAATTATTTGATTACATACAGTGGTGGAGCCAAGATTTTTCTTCAGTGGGATGGAGAAGCAAAGGGAAAATAAATTTAAAAATGTTCAAATATAAATAAAAATGTTCAAATACAAAATATATTGGCACTTCGAAACTACCTTGACCAGATAGAATTCTCAAAAGTTGATTTCTTTTAAGTAATTTTTCTATAATTGAATCAACATAATCAAGTAATCAAATCAATATAAGCATCTTATTGACTTATTGGACTAATTACTAATCAAATCAACATAATCAAATCAACATAAACAATTAAGCATCTTACTGAAATAAGCAATTAACTAGGAAAAATTCATAGTTAGTAATTAGTAATTAACAGATTAGTAATTCACCAATCGTTATGTTGTGAGCACGTGTCCACCTTGCATAGTGCACACGAATCTATATCCATAATTTTTATACTGTAGATTCTAATTATGGATCTATAGTATAAAAATGATGGATATAAATTTGTGCGCACCATGTGCATGGTGGACACATGCTCACAGCATAATTTACTGTAATCAATACGCAAAATTCAAGAATGATTAAAATTGCAGTGAATCATACTAAAATATATATATAAAAAAAAATTAGTGCAATTAGGGCAAAAACTACGGTAGCAACTAGTATCAAACCATCAATTGAATTAGCTAATTAGGGTAACTTCAAAATTAGAGAAATTAAGGAATTAAGGCAAAAACAAAATTAGGAAAATTAGGGCAAACAAAAAGTTAGAAAAATTAGGCAAACAATTGAATCAATTATTGAAATTAACATGTATAGTTCAAAGGGGTGAAATTGTGAGAAGTTAAAGAAGAGTAGAAGAACAAACCTGAGATTGTGAGAGGTTGTGGGCACTGGCGATTTGGCGAGGGTGCGGTGGCGAGGCAGTGGGAGGCGGTGAACCGGCAGCCGGCATGATTGCTGCCGTGGTGTGGTGTCAACTTCCAGAAACGCAGAGCCGACAGAGGAATCTAGAGCGGAAGAAACGAGCTTGGCGATGCGGTGTTGCGTGTTGGTTTGTGACAAGAACAATTGAACAAATGAAAAATTATATATATATATATATATATATATATATATATATATATATATATACACACACACACACACACACACACACACACACACACACACTGTAGATCCATAATTTCTATATTGTAGATTTCAATTATGAATCTATAGTATAAAAATTATGGATCTAGATTCGTGCGCACCATGTGCATGGTGGACACGTGCTCACATCATAATTTGTCATAATCCACAGGCAAAATTCAAGAATGATTGAAATTGCAGTGAAACATATTAAAATAAAAATAAAAATAAAACACAAAAGTAGTGCAATTAGGGCAAAAATTGCAACTAGTATCAAACTATCAATTGAATTAGCTAATTAGGGTAACTTCAAAATTATAGAAATTAAGGAGATTAAGGCAAAAACAAAATTAGGAAAATTAGGGCAAACAAAAAATTAAAAAAATTAGACAAATAATTGAATCAATTATTAAAATTAACATTTATAGTTCAAGATGTGAGATTGTGAGAAGTTAAAAAAGAGTAGAAGAACAAACCTGAGATTGTGAGAGGTTGTGGGCACTGATGACTTGGCGAGGGTGTGGTGGCGAGGCAGTGGGAGGCGGTGAACCGGCAGCCAGCAGGATTGCTGTCATGGTGTAGTGTCAACTTCCAGAAATGCAGAGCCGACATAGGAATCTAGAGCGGAAGAAACGAGCTTCGCGATGCGGTGTTGTGTGTTGGTATGTGACAAGAACAATTGAACAAATGAAAAATTATATATATATATATATATATATATATATATATATATATATATGTATATATATATATATATATATACATATATATATACATATATATATATATATATATATATATATATATATATATATATATATATATATATATATATATATATATATATATATACACTATTGTCGTAATCCACATGCAAAATTCAAGAATGATTGAAATTGTAGTGAATCATATTAAAATAAAAAATAAAAAAAAAATCAAAACAAAACAAAAGTAGTGCAAATAGGGCAAAAACTGTAACTAGTATCAAACTATCAATTGAATTAGCTAATTAGGGTAACTTCAATATTAAAGAAATTATGAAGATTAATGCAAAAATAAAATTAGGAAAACTAGGGCAAACAAAAATTTAGAAAAATTAGGCAAACAATTGAATCAATTATTGAAATTAACATTTATAGTTCAAGATTCAAGAGGTGAGATTGTGAGAAGTTAAAGAAGAGTAGAAGAACAAACCTGAGATTGTGAGAGGTTGTGGGGACTGGCGACTTGGCGAGGGTGCGGTGGCGAGGCAGTGGGAGGCGGTGGACCGGCAGCCGGCAGGATTGCTGCTCTGATGTGGTGTCGACTTCCAGAAACGCAGAGCCGGCGGAGGAATTCAGAGCGGAAGAAACGAGCTTGGCGATGCGGTGTTGCGTGTGGGTCTGTGACGAGAACACTTGAACAAATGAAAAAATATATATGTGTGTGTGTGACAGTCCCAAAACGACGTCGTTTTGAGGCTGTGTAATTTTGGACCGTGTGGAAAACTGCCCCACACTCCCTCTGCACGGATTACATACCTATATTGCACTTCATAATGAATGTTAATTGTCTCTGTTTTACACTTTTGAGCAAAAGAAGATAAATATAAGATAATAGTTTTTTTTAAAATACAAAAATAACATTTCATTAAATTAAAATTTCTGAAGAATAAACTTAGAATTTAATAAAATTTATTATATAAAAACTAAAAGTACTATTTTATTAATAACAATTTAAAGATTAAAAATGATAACACTTATAATATACAAAGTAAATCAATTATCAACTATTACTCTATAATATAGGGACTTAAAAGTAAAAATCTCTCTGAAATTAAGTTTTAATTCGAAAAATATAAGCCAAAAAGAGAAGGGAAATAACGAAATTATAGCACGAATATTCGGTCAAAGCACGAAAGGGCATATTCGTCATTAAAGAAGTTTCTACGGTCAAGACGCGTGCCACCGCCACAAAGGGCACGTTCCTTTTTACCTGCAAATGGCCGCCTTTTCTGGAATATAAAAGGAAAGCCCTAGAACCCTCTTTTTTCTCTTCACCAAACTCCCTCGCCGCTCTTCGTTTCTCGTTTCTCCCGATACCAAACTCCGCAAATCCTCTTTTGGTTCGTACTCATGGCCTCCTTCAATGAAGCTCCGCCCGGCGATGCCAAATCCGGAGAGAAGATCTTCAAAATGAAGTGCGCTCAGTGCCACACCGTTGACAAAGGCGCCGGCCACAAGCAAGGTAAACTTAATTCTATGTGAAAATTTTGGCTCGATCTGTGTTGTTCGCGATCTATGAGGATTCGACGATAGATTATAGATCCTTAAATCATGTTTCAGTTTAATTTATTTATATATAGTATTCGGCGATAGATTATAGATGCTTAAATCATGTTTTACAGTCTAATTTATTTGTATATAGGATTCGGCAATAGATTATATATGCTTAACTTATTCTTCACTCTAATTTATTTGTATATGTACGTTATAAGCTTGTAGATACCTTTCGTTCTTTTGGACTCAGCTGCTTAATTTTTATTTTTATTCTTTGTAAAATTTGATTTGCGCAATAATCGGTAGCTAGAGTGATATGTTCGAGGCATATGAATCGTTTTAATTGAATTTTAGCTGGTCCTTGATTATCCACTTGATTTTCTAGAGATTTGCAGTCTTTTGTAATATATGTCATCTAAGGAAGTTAGTTTTGTATCTTGGATGTGCTGATACTGTGATATCAGTTCCATTAATGTGATTTAACATATATGTATATTTAAATTAAAGATCTAAGTGGTTCTCTGTCTACATAGGATATGAAAGTCTGCCTGATTGAATTTATTTGGTAGATTATAAGATTTTCATTTTTTGGAAGTGTTAATCCTTTTGTCCTGCATTCAATCAAAGGGAACACTTGGAATATTTTTAAGTTTAGAATGTTGTTACTTACTAGTCTTGATGAATGATGTTTTAGGTCCTCTACAACTTGTCAGGACTTGCAGTTTGTAATTCCACTTATTACTGTTGAACATGAATTACACCTTTTATTGGTCTCTTGTCCCTTTGCTAATATATTCACTTACTGTTGTCATTCTAAACAGACACATGGTCCCTGCTCCCTTGTGCTTATCCTTTTTCTTTACATATAACTCTTTGGAAGCCAACAGAACCTTGTAGAATTTTTCATGATCCATGAATTTCATTGGAATGTTTTCTGATATCTCGAATTTCCAGGGCCTAACTTGAATGGACTATTCGGCAGACAATCCGGTACAACTCCAGGTTACTCTTACTCTGCTGCCAACAAGAACATGGCTGTCACCTGGGGAGAGAACACACTATATGACTACTTGCTTAACCCCAAGAAGGTGAGCTTTCTTGCATGGTGTAGTCTTATCATTTGAATTGCTATGAATATCTTCCCAAATGTACTGACTTGGACATGCTCTTGAGCAATGCGATCACATAATTGCTTAACTATAAGAATGTTTATGCATGACTTTGACATCGTTATTTGAATTGCAATGAAGGGTTCCACAAATGTATCGTTTTGGAAATGTTATGAGCTTACGCAATCACAATTACTGAGATTTCATCCTATCTGGCATTTGCTTGGTTTTTGCATTTTTCAGGACTCTGTTAATGCACTTATTCAAATCTCATATGTTTATTTGATCTGAGCTAATGAATTTTTTGGTATCTTTTTGTGATCGTTTTCTGAATTATTTTTTTTAATGTTGTGGCCAATTGATTTATGTTAATATCCACTCTTACATACCTCTTGTATTGATATTCTTATATACGAGGATCTCAATTGCGTTTTTTGTCCTTCACCTAACTGTAGTAACGATTCTTCCTTTTCATGCAGTATATTCCTGGAACCAAGATGGTTTTCCCTGGATTGAAGAAGCCACAGGACCGTGCAGATCTCATAGCATATCTCAAGGAATCAACTGCCTGAAATGCATTTTGTAGTTGAATGAGGATTTTTTGAGTAGTGATGATTGGAAAAATGACCACTCGTCCAGTTTTCAATTCTTTTGGTGGATGTCAATTTTCTTGCCAATAATATTGTGAACCCAACCGTAAAGGTTTTATTGCTACTTATCTATACTCTGGTTGAGATAGGCCAGTAGTGGCTGTACTTCTATGACATTCTTTTAGACTTCAATACATCGAAGTGCATACTTCCCTTTTGTTTAGGCTGATTATAATTCATTAATAAGACGTCAAGTTCAATAACCTGCATGTGTTTGTGTTTTCCAAGTTGTTTTTGATCAGGCTACTTTGAATTGCAATACGATCTGAGGATGATGCTAAATATATACTTAATTTTGCGCTTTGATTAATCCATATAAAAGTTGGATCTACAAAATAAATTTACAATTTATAGACAACATTTCTATAACAGGATTTCCTGAAGTAAAATTATTTCAACTTTTTGTTCTCAAAAACTTGATGCTATGGCAAACAGAAAATTTGTCCTCAACAATACTAACTAATGTTCCCAGACAAATAATTAATAGCATCAATTAATGTGAATGAAATTTCAAGATTAAGCTTGTGCAAATGTGCCTTCTTGGCTCCCCTCGGCAGTTTCCTTCCTGTATGCCCGCAGCCTCTCCTTCAACTTTTTACTCTCCTCGAAGTTTGACTTCCGCTTCACAGCTTTCTGCAAAAAGAAGCAAGTAAATTTGTGGCTTTTCTCCTGGGAGGATACTAAAGAAACAAATCCTAGTCTAATCAGAGAGCCAAGAAATTTGAACCCGGAATCTTACTTCCTGCCTAAAGCAGCGGTCAAGCTTTATCTTCAGATCAGTGCATTCGCCAAAGAATTTCCCAACGGGATGGTCCAGATGACATTTCTGAAACTGCTCGATGATCTGATCACATTAAATTCATATTCAATTAGTGAGATGATAGTTTGTCAATGTGGTCATCTTTCTCCCACTCTACTTTCTCCTTTTCAACATAAGGAGATAGAGCTATGACACAGGACAAGCAAGTGTCCGGATTCGAACTCCCACACCTTCACCTCCAATCATGACCTTTAAGTCAGGTGACTACGCTAAGTCCCGGGGACATTTTTATTTAGTTAGTCCTTATACATAGGGATGCCAGGGTGGGGAGTAGTCCTCCCCCTCCACTGGCAAAGAGTATGGTGATGAACTTACTTCTGCACACATTGGGTGCCGATGTAATGTCAGAGGAGGATGCATCTTTTTCCAATCAACTCAGATCCCTATACCACATTAAAAATGAACATGGAAATTTTAATGTCAATGTTATTCAACAACATCTCATGATAACACAACCCCAAAGCTATGAACATGACTATGTAGTCAAGTACAAAACCTCTAACTGCAAGATTCAATGTCCCAAGCAGAAAATAACTAACTAATTCTATAAATATAACTGTTAAACACAAAACACCTTCAAATAAAGCACTTCATATCCACTCCCTTTCCCCAAAACCCACACTCCTTCAGTTCACCACTCTTGCTGCAATCATTTTACTGTTGTTTACACTTTACATAGGATTTGCAATATTAGAATAGTTATGCACACCAAAGTGTTTCAGAGCAAAAAAAAATGCATGCTTTGTCACACAAAGCAACCCCAAGGTGCAAAAGATGTTTTCAAGTATCCAGTTGGTAGTTTTAGTACTTCAACAAAAAACAATTGCAATATCAAATCATGTATTATACATTATGAAAAATAAAAGAACATGTGAAGTGTTTCATCATGAAACAAAAAACCAGATACATAGCTATGAAAATCATGCATACCATGTAAAAACCAAGTTCACTTGATTGTGCTTTTTAGTACAAAGAAAACTAACATACGATTCAGAGAAGAAAAAAGAGAAATTAGGAGAGAAGAAGCAACAGAGAAAGAAAAAAAAAAAAAAAAAAAAAACGAAAACACAAATTTCCCTTTTGATTCAGGAATTCTATCAATCAGTTAGGGCGCATCCAAATACATGAGGGGTTTACACATTATATATATAATAAATGAGTCCGAGTACGAGACTGATTTCCAATCAAGACCTGTGATTGTCCGGAAAGAACAACGAAACATGAAATACAGTGTAGAGAGAATTCATCCATTCATACCTCGCAATTTGTGGAGCTAATCAGCTAAAATTCCCACCCGATCCGCTGCTGCTTACAATAGTACAATACTTGACAACTTCTTGAGCTAATCCGTTGAGGATTTCTTCGATTAAACTCGCCAGAAGGAAGAATCGTGAGAAGAGATGCCGCTAACGCTAAGCTTTAACGCTTTCCCTTCCTTTCCTCTCAACGGAGATGTGGCGGTGGCGGCAATGCGAAGTTGCGAACGGGTACGCAGGTGACTCTAAATTCTAAAATATGCATAGTTTTATTATAATAATAATAATAATTATTATTATTATTATTAATTCAACAAGGTACATTAATTTTGTAAAATAATATGTATTGATGAAGTTATAAAAAATTAAAGATTTCTAAGTATTAAAATTAATATTTGAATTTACTTAGTTAAATATTAAAATTATATTAAATTATTAGTTTGATTATAGCGCTAATTAATTGGGACGGTGATTTCATGTCCTTGAAATTAATTCGTGGGAACGAAATATGGGTCATGAGGTGGGGGAGTATACTCCCCACCCCGCACCCATTACATCCCTATATATATATAAGGACTAACTAAATAAAAATGTTCTAGGGACTTAGCGTAATTGGTTCGTCGTTTGACTTAAAGACCATGATTGGAGGTGGCACTGCGGGGGGTTCAAATTTGGACAATTGCTTGTCATGTGTCACTCTCCTTATGTTGAAAAGGAGAAAGTAGGGTGGGAGAAAGACAGCCACATTCAACCTCTATAATGTTGCCAAATACGATTATAATTGGTTCATTAACTATTGATTTTGTTTCAGATTTAGTTATTCAATTAAATATTCATTTAATATGCATTAAATTTAATGGAAAAAATGTGAGTGATTAATTTTTAAGATATATTATGTGTCTTCCATGTGACAACCTTATGCACAAAATCAATCTACTTATTTGATGTGTTTTTATTTATTTAGTCCTTATATATAGGGATGCAATGGGATAGAATGGGGAGTATACTCCCGTCATCACGAGTTCACAACTCACTTCTCGTTCCCAAGAAAAAGTTTCAAAGGACATGGAATCACGGTCTCAGTTAACATTATAGTTAAACTAATAATTTAATATAATTTTTAATATTTAACTAAATAAATTCAAATATTAATTTAATACTTAAGTCTTAAATTCTTTATAACTTCATCAGGCAACTATTGGCACAAATCCAATTTACTCTTGGAGATCAATCTTGGCTGGACAAACACTTTTAAGACAAACAGGGCTGTTTCCGCCGTATAGGGAATGGGCAAGACACTGGAATATGGAACTATCGCTGGTTGCCAGATGATTCTAACACCATTCATCAATCTTGGCTTGTTTCTAGAGTAAGGACTGTTGTTGCTAGGCTATTAAATGAATGGAGTGATAGCATGCATGGTGTTACTGTTGCAGCTAATTTTATTTCGCCTAATTTGCTTACAACGCTAGATGTAACAAAGGTTTTTGTTGATGCTGACGTTTTCATGGATTTGAATCAAGCTTATTACGGTGCAGTGATTATGTCCAGGAATGACACCTTTATGGCGGTAAAAAGTGGCCCTTTACGATGCTTAAATGATCCTGTCACAGACCTGCAAACTTGCCACAATATTTATAGAACAGAAAGGGGGTCAAGAGGAAGAAGAACAGATTTAGGGGTAAAGAGAAGAAAAGGATTAGGGTTTTGATTGCTCAACAATTCTGTAAAAAAAGCATAAAAATCCAGAGAAAACAACATTCTCAAATAAAGGAAAACTAGGCTAAAAAGACAAAGGAATCTTCAACAAACTCCACCATTCTCGCTGGGCTTCTGCTAAAAACTTCTAAACGGCGTCGTCTGATGGATCATTCAACCGCTTCCAACTGCCAACTGCAAAGCGACGTCGTTTGGCTTTAAGACTTCAACGGCCAACGACTACCTTCAAACGCTGTCGTTTAATTAAGTAATATGATTGCTAAATTCCGGCTCCAATACGACAGCGTTTTGGTCCCCCGACTTTCCTTCTTCACTTATCTTTAAAACATACAACTCCTCCTGTCCTTCCAATCTCATTCCCATCTTCAATTCTTCCTTTTTACCACCCAAGTTCATGACATTACCCCCTCCATCACCAGATCCTTGACCCCAAGGATCAAAGTTGGGAAATTGCTTGGTGATGTGGTGGTAGTTTTCCCATGTGGCAGCCTCAGGAGGTAAGTTTGCCCACTGCACAAGAATCTCTACTACAGCTGCATTGTTCTTCTTAACCAGTCTTTTTTGTAAGGCTGCAATTGGTTGGGTTAAAATCATGCCTTCCAGGTTAGTAGCAGGTAGTTCTGATTGTGGTTCAACCCCATCTCCTACCCTCTTTTTCAGCAAGGAAACATGGAACACAGGGTGGATAGCAGCCTCCCCTGGAAGCTTTAATTTGTATGCTACTGGCCCAATCTTTTCAATCACCTCAAAGGGTCCATAGTACCTAGCTGTTAGCTTGATGTTGGACCTTACAACCACAGTGGACTGTTTGTAAGGTTGTATTTTGAGATAGGCCCAATCTCCCACCTCAAAGCTTCTTTCAATTCTATGTCTGTCTGCTTGTTCTTTCATCCTGGCCTGAGCCTTAGAGAGATTTTCCTTAAGAATAGCAATCATCACAGCCCTTTCTCTAAACCAGTCCTGTCCTTCTCCTTCTGAGATGACTTTAAAGGTTAAATAGGGTGGAGTATAACCATATAGAGCTTGAAAGGGGGAACACTTGAGGGATGTGTGAAAATTGGTGTTGTACCAATATTCTGCTAAATGTAACCATTTGAGCCAAGTTTTGGGCCTATGGAAAGCCATGCACCTTAAATATGTTTCAACACACCTGTTCACCCTCTCAGTCTGACCATCTGACTGAGGGTGATAGGAAGAAGTCATACTCAGCTTCACTTGCATCAGCTTGAATATCTCTTTCCAGAATTTGCTCACAAATATTTTGTCCCTGTCACAGACTATATCTTGGGGTAGACCATGAAGTTTGTAGATGTTTTCCATGAATAGATCAGCCACCATCTCAGCTGTGAATGGATGTGAGAGAGCTAGGAAGTGTCCATACTTGGTTAATCTATCCACTATAACCATAATGACATCTTTTCCTTGTGACTTGGGCAATCCCTCAACAAAATCCATAGAAATGCCTTGCCAAGCCTGTTCTGGAATAGGTAATGGTTGTAACAGCCCAGGGTAGGCTGTATTTTCCTCCTTGCACCTCTGACAAACATCACACCTCTTGACTGTTTCAATGACTTCCTTCTTCATGCCCTTCCAGTAGAATATTTGCCTGAGCCTATGATAGGTAACCTGTTGCCCAGAATGGCCCCCCATGGGTGAATTATGCATCTGTTCTACTATCCTTCTTCTTAGGTCACCTGTACCCCCAACATATAATCTGCCTTGGTATTTGATCAGTCCCTCACTGATAGTAAAAAGAGACTCTGGATCTGCTGCAATTATCTGCTTAGTTAGAATTTTTGTGGCCAATTCATCTTTTTCATAACTTTTCAGAATCTCCTCCTTCCATAGTGGCCTAGCAATTGAAATAGCATTCAACTCAGCCTGCTTCTCATGCTCTCTTCTGGACAATGCATCAGCCACACAGTTCTCACTCCCTTTCTTATACTGAATTTCATAACTTAGTCCCAACAGTTTTGTGAGGCCTTTTTGTTGCATAGCTGTTGTGATTTTTTGTTCTAACAAGAACTTGAGGCTCTGGTGGTCAGTCTTGATAACAAAATGCCCACCACACAACTAAGATCTCCACTTATCTATAGCATTGATAATGGATAGATATTCCTTCTCATAAATAGACAACCCAAGGTGTTTAGGACCAAATCCTTTGCTATAGTAGGCTATTGGTTTACCCTCCTGCATAAGCACTGCCCCCATACCCTTATAACATGCATCAGCTTCTACCACAAAAGTCTCATTAAAGTCAGGTAGGGCAAGGACTGGTGCTGAACATAAAGCCACTTTGAGCTGCTCAAAAGCCTTTTCTGATTCATCACTCCACTGGAATGCATTCTTTCTTAACATGTCAGTCAGGGGTCTACTTAAGGTTCCATAGGACTTTATGAACCTTCTGTAGTATCCAGTGAGCCCTAAGAATCCTCTCAACTCCTTGATGGTGGCAGGTTTAGGCCAAGCAGACACAGCAACAAGTTTCCCTGGGTCAGTTTGTAGCCCATTCTCAGAAATAATGTGTCCTAAGTACTCTACCTCCTTCTTAGCAAAGGAACACTTACTGAGCTTGGCTAATAGCTGGTTTTTCTTCATTATGTCAAGCACCTCCCTTAGATGTTCCCAGTGTTGGCTCAGTGAAGGGCTGTAAACCAATATGTCATCAAAAAACACCAAGACTGTCTTCCTTATCAAGGGCTTGAACACCAAGTTCATGAGAGCTTGAAATGTAGCTGGTGCATTAGTCAATCCAAATGGCATAACATTGAATTCATAAAGGCCTTGATGTGTTCTAAAGGCAGTCTTATACTCATCACCCTTCTTCATTCTCACTTGGTGATAGCCGGCCCTTAAGTCCAATTTGGTGAAAACCTTTGCATTTGCCAATTCTGAGAACAAGTCCTCTATTAAGGGAATTGGGAACTTGTTCTTGGTTGTAATGCCATTTAGAGCTCTGTAATCCACACAAAACCTCCATGTGTTGTCCTTTTTTGGCACTAAAAGAACTGGTGAGGCAAAGGGATGGGAACTTGGGGAAATGATGGCAGCAGTCAACATCTCATCTACTATCTTCTCTATTGCATTCTTCTGAAGATATGAGTATCTATATGGTTTGGAGTGTACTGGCTTAGACCCTGGAATTAAGGGAATCTCATGGTCCAAGGATCTTGAAGGTGGTAGGCCCTTAGGCTCATCAAAAATCTCCTGATACTCCTGCAAGATAACAGTAAGCTCACTGGAAGGTGATTCCGCATCCTTAGAGGAATGAATAGCCTGCATCATGCCTTGTAGGAGGTACCCTTGCACTCCCTCCTTCTTCCACCTTCTAATCTCCTTTTTAGATGCCTGTTGCAACACAATTTTCTTGGTCAGCCCTTTCAACATAACCCTCTTGCCATCTTTGTGAAAAGATATGCCAGGAGGCCTTGTGTGCAGTTGGATTGGAGCATATGTGTCTATCCAATCCATTCCAAGCACAATATCACAGCCACCTAATTTCAAGACTCTCAAATCTTTCTTAAATTGCTCCTTCTGCACCTGCCATTCCAACCCTTTGCAAACTGAATCACACCCCATAGACTCACCATTTGCCACTGTGACTTTAAGATTCTCAGTTTTCTCAGCAACAATTCCCTTTTGATCTAATACCTTGGGATCCACAAAGCTGTGGGTACTCCCACTATCCACCAAGATGATTACCACCTGCTTACCAATTAAGCCTAGTAGTTTAATGGTATTCATGCCTTCCCCTCCTATAACAGCATTAAGAGTGACTTCTACTGCCTCTTCCTCATGTATATCCTCAGTTTCCTCTTCATCTATCTGGTCCCCCATACTGACCTCTTCTCCTTCTTGGTTTTCCATTCCTTCCAAAATATTAAAGGTGGGACTCTTGCAGTTGTGCCCAGGGCTCCATGGATCAAAGCATCTATAACATCTGTTTTGCTCTCTAAGCTGGTCCCTGAGTTTAGTGACTTCAGGAGACCTGGCATTGGATTGAAAAGAGTTGGAAGTTGTAGTTTTGGCTGGTAATTGGTAAGGTTGGTTTCTGTTTGGGTCATTCTGTTTAGGGAAGTATGTTCTGGGATTGGTTTGGGTTCTTTGGTTCTGGAATGGGGCTCTGGGATTGTTATAGGATGATTTTGGGGTACTAGTAGGGTTGTTTCTGGAAGTCTCACTCACCCTTAATCCTTTTTCAAACTGTTTGGCTAGCCACATTGCTTCCTCCAAATTAGCAGGCCTAGAGGTCCTTACAAAACATCTCAATTGCTGTTTCAATCTCACCACAAAACTATCCAAAAAATATTGGTCAGTTAATGTGGGATAACTCTGCAATAAAAGCCCCTTGAACTCTTCATACTTATCAGAAAACTCTACCACACTCCCCCATTGTTTAAAATTTGAGAATTCCTCCATGACATATGCATGAGTATCACAGAATCTCTTGCAAATAGCCCTAGCAAACACCTCCCATTGAAATCCTTCTCTCAGACTATTAAGGTAGGTTTCATACCACATAGCTACTTTTCCAGATAAATTGACACACAAGACATGCATTACTTCATCCCTGAGAATTCTAGCTAGCATAAAGAATCGCTCACACCTTACTACCCATAGCCTTGGGTTATCATAATCAAAAGCAGGGAATTCATGCTTATACCTCACTGTTTGTTCACCATGTTGGTTGTTCAGGCCAGGCCTGGGATTGAAGTGGACTCTCCTGGGCTGCCAAGGCCTTTCAGCTCTCAAGGGAGGCATGTAAGGTCCAAACTAATTTTTTCCCAGCCCTTCTTCATCATCGATCAGCTCCTGTGGCTCAGGGAGGCCATCCATTGCAGGCTCTTTGCCAGGCCTACTGCCAAGACCAGATCCCTCCTCTCCTGGGCTGTCATGAGTTGTCTGAGCTTGGCCATGGACAGATGAAGGCTCAGTGGGTGGGGGTGGTCTATTGAGCCTAAGGAGCTCCACGATCTCATCCTTCCAGGTTTGCATTTGCTCCTTAAGCTCTTGGTTGCTATCTCTCATCTCCTGCCTGGCCTCAGTGAGGCTACTGCTGTTCTCCAAGAGCATAGCTTCCAGCCTAGATATTCTTTCCTCCATGGCTGCTGAGGTTGTGGTGACCATGATGGGCTCTGATACCAGTTGTCACAGACCTGCAAACTTGCCACAATATTTATAGAACAGAAAGGGGGTCAAGAGGAAGAAGAACAGATTTAGGGGTAAAGAGAAGAAAAGGATTAGGGTTTTGATTGCTCAACAATTCTGTAAAAAAAGCATAAAAATCCAGAGAAAACAACATTCTCAAATAAAGGAAAACTAGGCTAAAAAGACAAATGAATCTTCAACAAACTCCACCATTCTCGCTGGGCTTCTGCTAAAAACTTCTAAACGGCGTCGTCTGATGGATCATTCAACCGCTTCCAACTGCCAACTGCAAAGCGACGTCGTTTGGCTTTAAGACTTCAACGGCCAACGACTACCTTCAAACGCTGTCGTTTAATTAAGTAATATGATTGCTAAATTCCGGCTCCAATACGACAGCGTTTTGGTCCCCCGACTTTCCTTCTTCACTTATCTTTAAAACATACAACTCCTCCTGTCCTTCCAATCTCATTCCCATCTTCAATTCTTCCTTTTTACCACCCAAGTTCATGACAGATCCCTATCTTGCTGAGGCACTTGCAGTGAAAGAAGTTAAGCACTCTCCTGGACAAGGAAAGGGGTCTCACAAATATTCAAGTTTTTACTGATTGTTTGTTTGTGGTTTTATTAATGGTGCTCTACCATATCTCTCATATGCAGGTTGTTTTATCCATGACTATCGTGATCTTCGTCGACACTTTGAAGTGTTGTCCTTTAATTATATTCCTCGATCAGTGAATAAGGTAGCTCACACTCTTATGTGAAATGCTCGTTCTCATACTGACATTTTTAATTGATTTTTTTACTATTCCTCATTATATGAACATTTGATTTAATAAAATTTGTTTCCTTTGGTTTCAATACATATATATATATTAGAGTTAAAATTTCAAGAATGGTCTAAAAGCGCCTAAATCAATTCTGCCTGATCCTGTGTCGTCTCTATCTCCTTAGAGTGGGAGAGAGACGACCACATTCAACCTGTATAATGTTGCCAAATGCGAAATAATGAACACATTGAAAATAAATATGTTTTTGACAAGACTAAAGGGCACACTGCAATAGCCAAGAGAATGTGGGACAAATTCGTAAAAGGAATTACACTGAATTAAGTTAGAACAAACTTTTAATTATTGCACAAAAAGTTGAATTTATAACAATATAACCCCAATGATTCCAGGAAACATTTGAGATGTAAATTATGATAACTCAATGACTTAATAGACATGACTAAATATTAGTGGACACAAAAGATCTGTTTACTTTAAACATAATCATCACACTGTAGCAACTCAGATTTGAACCTGAACCTTAATCTATTCTGACTAAGGCAGTGCGGACAATTGTTTTGTAATATCACCTAACGAAACCATCAAGGAGATGAAAACTTGATTTACTAACATTTCAAATATTGCAAAATGGATATTCAATTCGTAGAAAACTACATGAAGGTCTTGCAGGCTCGGCTCTTTAGCATATATATCCTATCAGAGTTCGAGAAACCAGAAACATGATAGAAATTGTTTTGATTCACTTACTAAAGTTTTTATTTCATGAAAGATTGGAACTTGGAATTCTCTGGATATGTATGATCCATGGCATTCTCCTCCGAGAATTACTTCACCACATATCCATCAACCTTGGCATACAATTAGGAGGAGAGACCGATGCCGTGGGATTTGGAGGAGGGATCCACGGCGGATCTATCGAAGTGGTGGAGGAGAGAGGTGGCGCCAGTGGCAGTTGAAGAGGATGTGGAAGTGGTGACGGCAGCAGCAGCGGCGGCGGCGGCGGCGCGTTTGCGTGCTTCTTCAAGTTCAACTTTGTCCTCAATTTTGACTTCGATCTTGCTCGGCCTTCTCCGCAGCATTTCTTCACCGCTCACGAATTCGGTCGCTGCAACACACAGAGAAGCAACAGATTAGAAGAAGAGGAAAAAAGAGAACACAAATTGACCTCGTGATTCAAACTGTTCAAAAATTGCTCTTCTTTATCTGAAGAACAATTTCAAAGAAAGGAACAACAATGATTCAGGAATTCTGTCGAACAGTTGGGGCGCATCCAAATAGTAGAGGGGTTTGTATAAATGAATACGAGTACGAGACTGATTTCCAATCAAAACCTGTGATTGTCCGGGAAGAGCAACGAAAAAATGAATTACAGTGTAGAGAGAATTCATACCTCGCAGCAATTTCTTGAGCTAATCTGCTAAACTTTCCACTCGAACAGTACTTGACAACTCGTTGAGCTAACCCGCTTTTAAGGATTTCTCCGGTTACGTTAGGGATAAAATTGCAAATATACTAACCTGACACTCTGACAGCATAGTTCACTTTTAAGTATTGCACGGCTCAATTGTGAGGCTATCCAAGGACAAGTAATTTGACTCTATACTCACAACTTTTCCTTCCGTACATCAAATCTTGATGTAGACCTCTGTATTAAGATTCACATAAAAAAATAGTTTATCAGTCAAATCAAAGAATAAAATTGAAAGAATAAGATTTAAGAATACATATAGTAAAACTCTTATTGCAATACCCATTTTTAATACTACATGTAGTAAAACTCTTACTTCCATATAACTAAATTTGCAATTCATTTACTATTCATACTACGTCCATTCAAATCCAATCAACTTTTAAAAGTAGCCCCAATTTCATAAACTATTAACAAAACATTAAGTATTAAAATATATATATATATATATATATATATATATATATATATATATATATATATATATATATATATATATATAAAAGGTACGTAGGGCAGCTTTTGTTGCCAGACAAATTATGATGTGGAACCGTGTGTACCTTGCAAGGTGGACACGGTTTCAAAACTGTCACAATTATAAATATAGAGTTCAAAAATGAACATAGAGTTTTGTAATTATGAATATAGAATTCAATAATTGTGAACATGAAGTTAAAAAATTATGAACATAGAGTTTTATAATTATAAACATAGAGTTCAGTAATTATGAACATAGAGTTCTGTAATTGTGAATATGAAGTTCAAAAATTATGAACATAGAGTTTTATAATTATGAACATTGAGTTTAGTAATTATGAATATAGAATCGTGTCCACCTTGCAAGCTGGACACGGTTCCATGACATAACAATTGCCATGTATACATTAAAAATATTTTTTTTTAATCCACATCATTTAGCAAGTGGAGTCTTAGCTAAGTTGAGGACAACTTAAATATGTTAATATGTCAATATAGTTCACTTTTAAAAATAAAGCAAGAAAGTATTCCAGGAAGTTTCAAGACATAGTTTAATTGGTTAATTAATCTATAGATAAATTTTGTTACGCTGACAACCACAAGGTACAAGGTTAAAAGTATTTAAAAGTGAAAAAGTATTGCAAGAATGCTTGTGATAAATGTTTATTATAGTGAACATTCATCAACCATCATAAAAAGTTTGTAGTAATATCATTGAATTTCAACAAAATATTCATCACTATATAATTGATGCATGTATTGTTTACTATACTTTCTCTATTGTTTATCCCAATAAAAAAAATTTTAGTGGTTTTTTGCAATTAGTAATTCAATTTTAATTTTAAAATTATCATTTCATCAATTAAATGGTGGCATGTTTATTTTAAAAGAATTACTTTTAATTCCAATTATAAGAAATAAAGAAATAATTAAAATATAATTTATGTAAAATGGTGGAGTCCATAAAAAACTTGTAAAAAATTAAAATTTTTGGAGAGAAAATTTTATGAGATTCTATGAGATATTAGATAATAAGGTTAATGTTGATACCCACAAAAAATTAGAGAAAAACTTAGCTCTACAACCAACAATTTTTCTGTCACTGGGATATCCAATCAAAAAAGTGTAAAGTCTATTCCTCTCAACAAATCTTCAGTACTCTATAAACAAACACAAAAACTACATGACCAAAACTGTAGCTATGTCAAAAGCTCCATTAAATACAATCAGAAAAGACTGATAAAACCAACCCTTTTTATCTATGTGACAAAATTTAAAACCCCATCACCTTCAAGGACAGTTTCTCTAATGGTTCTAAAGCGCTTGGAAAAAACTTTCTGGCAAACAGATAACAGATTTGTGTCTTCCCACGATTGTAAGAACACGACGTGCCATTACTCCTTATTGACTGTATGAAGCCTTCGGTAATGTTAGCTGCAGTGTAAGATGCCGGGTGAGGGCCCCCTAATGACCAGTCAACGTAAGTCACACTTCGGTTAGCATTCATATACCCGTGGTGCAGTTGTAGATAGGTGGGAATGTAGTGCTCATCGGGATAACAGGATGGCCTGCAATACTTCTTGAACATAGCGTAGAATTTGGTTTCTGAGACAATTATGATGGCCAAAGCACGGTTCATCTCAAACCACTGAGATCCTTTTCGCCATTCATGAAGTTTGATATCGGGCTTCATGCGAGTGTTGTAGCGACCACGCCCATAACGAGTAGGGTCATCATATGATTCGATGAAGCTGTGGGTTGATTCAGTGAGATATTTGTAGACTGTAGGGAAATCGTAAACCGGGATACAGCTCTCAGACAGAAGAACAAATCGTTCGTTTGAGAAGTCTAGTAGGGCGTTGGCCAAAAGCCGCCTCTCAGCATCCACCAGCGATACTGATCCCCATTCAACATTCTGAAACAAATAGTGTAAGAGTTTAGCAGCCTGCCACATACTGTAACCTAAACCAAATCAATATAATAAGCAATAAATTCTTCAAATCAACTAATAAAAGAGGTACATATTCCATCCCTTACTTGCGCAGTTAGATCCTATAATCTAATAACACCCCTTCCCTTCAAACTAAAGTCAATAATGTCCAAAAACTTCAACAAAGTAAACTTCTATTTTTTTTTCTTCTTTTCCAGAACTCCATTTTACCTCGAAAAGGAGGGAACTGTTTTTTCTCCTTAAATATCTTATCGATCAATTGAATCATAATTTTCAGGTTCAAACCAAATGTCATTTCCAGAATAGCCCACTCTAGTCTTTCCCTTTTCATCATTACAACCTTATAGTGCCTTGGTATCATGGTCCAGCAGGTTTATAAGTTTATCCTCATTTTCATCCAAGTCATTTCTGGCATAACTTGTAAATCACTGTGATTCGGTAATTACGACTCAACCTTAGCATTTGAATTCTTTTCAGTCATTTTCCCATGGTTTTGAATTAACAGTCCTAGGAAAGCGTTTGACTTTTTTTAAATAAAATGAGCATCCAGTTCTACTGTTCTTTACAGATCACTTCAAAACAAACATTCTAAAGTTCGTGAACAAGCATACATCACGTTCAAATTATACCTGGCACTTGCCATTATGTATGAGTACTCACAACTTCTGTGTGAAAATAAGCCAATGCAAATGGAATGCCGACATTTTTTAGCAATGATATCCAAAAAAGTACCACTCAAAATAGGCATGAAAAGAAATAAACTGATAAATTAGATAGCAGATATCAGTTATATTGTACCTGACTTTTAATCTGGCGTTTGTAAAAAACAGATGTATTGGCCACACTGAGCACATATCCCGGAAGGGCGTGCACATAGATTGAGTATATGTTCTTGTCCTGCCCCTTAAAGAACCTTTCCCACAATGGCATCATGGGCAGTTCTCCCCTAGTCAAGAACATGAAGGCCACTTTGGGTACTCTCTCAAATGGAACCTCTTCCTTAGTAGGAACCAACGACGCCCTCCAAAACAACTCCTCATCACTCATCCCATGAATCAAATTCCTTGGCCTCTGAAAACTCTCCATGCTCAAACAATCCTCACAAAAACACCTCGCAACCGTATCATCCAACGCGTTTTTCCTGATATTTTGCTGCGCTTGGAAGCTCAAGTACCTACCAATGTGTGTGCTAGAGGCCAGCCCAATCACCACTCCAACTACAAATACAACCAAAGTTGAAACCACTGTCAACATGCTGATTGGGGAGTCCCTTGGGACTGATAATCTATACTCGGACCCATCTTTCTTCCCATTACTCATTCTCTCCCCCTTATTCTATATATCAACAATAATCCCCAATTAATATCAACAAGACTCCTCGTGTGCAGAGTGTACAGCACCTCGGGACTGACGGGGCAAATCCCAATTTATCTCATCCAGTGGCTCTAGGGGCTTAAGATTAGGCTAAAACTAAAGCATAAAAAAATTAATAATAAAATAAAAATCCCCAATCAATTTTCATCAACCCTCAACCTTCAATACCTATCTAGTCAGAAACACAACAAATTGGCCTCACCAGGCTTCTTTTTTGGTTCACTCTCAATCAGACCATCAGAAACCAATTCTCACAATTGAAAGTTTTGAATTCTGAAAGTTGATGCAATCAAACAGAAATTCAACAGCAAATTGGAAAGGTCAAGGAATTTAACATGGATCTCAATTCATATCCTCAAGGCTGCTAGGGATTTGCAGAAAAAAGAGCATCGGAGCTCAGGAAGCAAACGAAGAAAATCCAAAAATGAATCAAGAAAAAAAAAAAAAGTTACACTTCTGAGTTCAGTATTGGAAAACTCACAGACGGCGAAGAAATCAAGAATCAAGTAAACATCAGAGGTAGTTCAACGCAACACACAGTTCACGCACACCATTGCAGGTTTACTATTAGTTCTGCGAATTTCGGTGTAATAGTCCCTATGCAGATTGCAGACGGCAATTCTACAACTTCACGACAAGATGCAGTCCACTAGACAGTCCAATTCCGAAATAGAGTAATTTAATTGATGTAAAAGAAAAAAAGATTCTAAGAATTTTATTAATTAACCAAATTTTGGATTGTGTTTAAGTTTGGTCTAATATTAATAAACCAATCTAACCGTAACCATCACTAAATACTAAATAGTTTGGGGTAATTAATAAATAAATAAATTGTTAATCCAAGTTTAAGGTTAGAAATTTCACTATTGTTTTTTTTTTTTTTGGTAAGGAGAAATTTCATTATTGTAAAAGATGTTTCACATTAAAGAGTTATAAGTAAATTTTATTTTTTTTAAGAGTCAAATTGTGTGGAAACACAATTTGAATTTGTTTCATAATGAATTGATGATGTAATCATTATTAAGTATTGGAATAAGGTTCAAATTGGCCACTGAACATAATATGAAAATACAATTAGGCAATTGAACAAAAAAAAAATGTAATTAGGCCACTGAATACTCCAAAAACGTGTAATTTCACCTGATAGCAGGTTACCTACTTACGTAGCAGCTGAGTTGGCATTTTTAATAATTTTTAATAATAAATTTTAAAAATTGAAAAAAATAATAATTTAAAAAAAAAAACTAAAAAATAAGAAATAAAAAAGTCGACGGGCTAATTGCACTGATGGTAGCCTGCTATTTTTAATAAACTAGGTCAATTTTATGATTCAGTCAATATTTATTAAAAATAAAAATAAAATTGACCTAGTTTAACCTGAATCATTAAATAATTTTTAATCAATTTAAAAAAAAAAAAAAAACAAAAAAAACGTTGATTTTTTTTTTTTGTTTTTCTTTTCAATTTTTTTCAATTTTTTAAAATTTATTAAATATTATTTATAAATTATTAAAAATGCCAACTCAGCTGCCACGTAAGCAGGTAACCTGTTAAAATTGATGGTAACTTGCTATCAGGTGAAATTGCACGTTTTTGGAGTGCTCAGTGGCTTAATTGCACCTTTTTTTTTTTCATTCAGTGGCTTAATTGCACCTTTTTTTTTTTTTTTTTTTTCGTTCAGTGGCCTAATTGGATTTTCAGGTTACGTTCAGTGGTCAATTTGAACCTTATTTCTTAAGTATTTAATTTGGTTTTTCTCTTTATGACGCAATGCTTTTGATGGTTTTTTTTTTGGTGCATTTGCAGCCGGGACAACGCGTAGCCTATGTGATCCTCCGGGTTACGGCTCCATATGCACCCACTTTCAAAAGATTCTCTATGCCATCTTGGGGTGGGGGGAGAGGGGGGGGTGGTCTCCAAGACTGTAGTCCCAACCTACCCAAAGTTCGCCAACCAATCAACACATTTATTTCCTTTTCGAAACACATGCAAGAACCTCACATGTTGTGATTGAGTGGCCAACCGCCTGCAATCTCTACGGAAGATTTCCTCCTCTTCCACACTTTCAGGCTCAATATTCTGCGTTTAGTAGCACAACTAAGATGCAATTCGAACCCGACTCGTAAAGCTCAGACAAAAGAGAAGAGAGGAGAAGAGGTCAATTGAAGGTGTGCTTAGAACTGAGGGGAAGCAAGGTATTTATAGTCTCAAAAATAGTTGTTTTACCTCTCTTAGCTACATAAAGTCCACGAAAAGAGACCTTCTCTAACTCCACAAATACAAAACAAATACACCACACGACGAGCAAGCGGCGGTGGTGCGCGTGTGGGGTTCCCCTTCACTTTTCCCTCCATAATAATTCAAATGTTCCAAATGGGTTGTTGAATGAAAGGGAAGAAAATGTTCATTGTGAAAGCAACGTGGGACAAGTGGTATAGGAAAAGTCACTTCTACTGTAGTTCTACACATGGTTGAATGTAAACTCCAACAAAAACGTGCTAAGATTGAAGTCTACTTTATGATCTTAGTTGGCAAATGAGCACAAGAATTAAATCGGCCTAAATTGTTCATTACATTTAGAACTTTGTAAATATTAAGGGTGTGTTTGGTTTGCACATGGGAATCAGAATCGGAATTGGAATCAAGTATTTGGCAATGATAAGAATTTTGGTGAAAATATTTTGCATGTTTGGTAGTAGGGGTGGAATTGAAATGATTATTAATATTGATGTTTGGTTATGTACGACCCTATAATGGGAATACAGGTTTTAAAAATGCAAAAACAAAAAAATCAATGCAATTGATCTTAATATAATGGCATTCAACGCACCAATATGAACACACACACACACACACACACACACACACACACACACACAAAAAGGCAAAACAAAAATGATACATTTTTTTAATTAGGGAATGAGATTTTTAATCGAATGATTAATTAAATCTTATAGTTATGTTTTAAAAAGTTGTCAACCAAACACTAATTATAATTTTAATTTTCATTCTTAGTGTGTAAATCCATGAACCAATGTTATGCTGTGGAACCGTGTCCACCTTGCAAAGTGGACATGGTTCTATGTTCATAATTACTGAATTGTATGTTCATAATTATAAAGCTATATATTCATATTTTTGAACTTCATATTAATAATTATTGAACTATATATTCACAATTACATAACTCTATATTCATAATTATTAAACTATATGTTCATAATTTTAAAGCTATATATTCATTTGAACTTTATATTAACAATTATTGAATCTCTATATTCATAATTACAGAAATATATGTTCATAATTATGTTCACAACTCTATGTTCATAATTATAGAACTATGTATTCATAATTATGAACCGTGTCCACCTCGCAAAGTGGACACGATTTCACAGCATAATTTGCCACCAAACACACCCTTAAGTCATTTGTTGAAGAATTTGGTTGCTAAAAGAAAACTCCATTGTTCCGGTATATATATATAATTTGCATTTGCATATTCTGTCCTTTCCCATTGACGTCCATAACGCACAATCGTCCCTACCAATCCAAACGATAGAACAATCATATAGGCGTAGACAGCGAAAACGGTGCATCATTTCGCACTCTCCACGTTCCACATTTCCATACTCTCTCTCCTCAAGTGCAGCGCGAGCGAGAACGGAGCACCATTTCGCACTCTCTACGTTCCATACCATTCCCCGCTCTCTCTCATGCAAATTTGAAGCCACGTTACAAAGGTTCAGACAATTTCCCGGTCAGAATCAACAATATTGCATTCTCTGATCATCTGAGCTGCTATGTAATTTTATATACATGTGTACGTATGTATATGTAAGGTGAATTTCGATTTTGTTTTTTTAACGCAAAGGTGAGAGCTGTGTGATTTGGATCTATGGAGGCAATCGAGGAGCTGCAAGAGCTTGCCAATTTGATGCGGCAAGCCGGGGCTGTGCTCGCCAACGAAGACGTTGAAGCCGTAATGTCTGCATCGTCGAGACGGCCCTCAACGTTCCTTAATGTAGTTGCTCTCGGCTGCACGGTAATGTAATTAATAATGTTTTCCATGTCTCCTTACTCTAAGTATTCCGATTTTGATCATAATGTAGGCCTCGCTATATGTTTGTGTGTTGATCTGTGTGATACATGAAATATATAGTAGGCGCTGTGCTAAGTTGATCGGTCGATGTGCAATTTTAAGTTTGGTGAATAATGTAGGCTTTCATGTAGTTGAAAATGCAGTTCCAACTTTCTGAGTCTATAGTACTTCTTTGAATACTGCTAATCTGAGTATTGCTTGATACTTATGTTGGACCAGCAATATCAATGTGCTAATAGCTTGGATATTTAGTTTTCCACATTGCATAAGCTTCAATTTGGGCTTGAATTGTTAGTTCTGTATGGTGCTTTGAGCTGATTAAATGTTCTAGCATAATTGTTTGTGTTGTGAACCTGTATATATTCTGATGAAGTATAATTATTTCTCAGCTCTCACATTGCAGTGGCTTGGCATGCATATATATTTCCTTCTTAGAAAGAGCTGCAAGACACTAGTTGCATTGTCTGATAGCAAGTTTGGATGGAGGAATAGTGCAATACTGGTCTAATTAAATTTCCCTATGTTAACTGTGAATGCCTTCAAAATACTTTGATCGGGATGTTTGAAACAAAATTTGGAGATTACATTGGTTTAGGTGATACAAAACCAAATGAGAATGTCCTTTTTGGGTCACATAGACTATTAATTTGTTTTTGCATGTGTACTTTGACCGTTAGAGGATTTTTATTTCAACTGAGTATGCATATTGAGTCAACAAAGTATTTAGGATTTGTCATCTTACTATAACTTCTATTGGAGTCTGTGTGGTATCCATTTCTAATTGTTGACATTCTTCAGGGTGCTGGTAAATCTGCTGTCCTGAACAGTGTTATTGGACATCCTGCTTTGGTGAGATTTTCTCAAGCTGTCTTCTAGATTTTAGGACTGGACTTTTAAGCTTCTTTGATATACAGCTTTCTTGTCTTAATGTGTTTATTTTTATTTGAATAGCCAACTGGAGAAGGCGGTGCTACACGTGCTCCTATATGCGTTGAGTTGAAAAGGGATAGTTCCTTGAGCAGTAAATTAATCATTTTGCAGATTGACAGCAAATCACAAGAAGTCTCTGCAAGTGAGCCCCCTTTTCTTCACTTTGAATCCTCTTTTTGTAATTAAGAGTGGATTCTGTATGAATTAGTTTTCACCAACATGATAAATATATCATTATCTGATTGTGCTTGTTCAACCTTTGGTCCAATATAGGTGCTCTTCGACGCTCTCTACAGGAGAGATTAAGCAAAATATCAAGCAAGAGTCGCGATGAGATATCTTTGAAGCTTAAAACCAGTACAGGTATGGCCAGACATATAATTCCAATTATTGTTAACCCCTTAGAAAGATTTTTGTGCCTTGGCTCATTGGTAAATCTTATGGCTAACATTACATTTGAGGAATGCTGTTCTCTTAATGTAATGTAGAAATTCAGACTACTTAGAACCATATTTCTCTAGAGAACTGTTGAATAGCAGTCAAATGAACTTTTAGCATTTTAACTGAACATTGTATTTGAATTATCATTAGCTGCACTGATGTTCTATAGTTATCTGTTTGCTTGAATTTGTGGTTACTAACATCTTGAATTCAGTTTTAGTCTGGCAATGCTGTATTTACTTCCCCTTTATTCTTCTTGTTCTGAAATTCTTATGCTTCTATTAATTTGCTGATATTTGTGGTCTACAGCTCCACCATTAAAATTAATTGATTTACCAGGAATGGACAAAGCGCGTCTTGATAGTTCATCAGTGAGTGGCTTTCTTTCAGAATATCAATTTGGATTTTGGATGCCTTCCTAAAAGGAGATTTTACACTTAATTGTTCCTTACAGAGCCAGTATGTAGAGCATAGTGATGCAGTATTACTTGTTGTAATACCTGCATATCAGGCACCAGAAGTTTCTTCATATAAAGCACTTAGAATTGCAAAGGAGAATGATGGAGAATGTAAGTTTCACTATCTTGCATTTCAGTTTGTTGGCTTAAAAAGAAAATGACATATATTGGAATTTCTGGTTACTATTGTTTTTCTATAATGCATGAAAAGCATGTACTATTTCATACTTCAGCTACAAGAACTATTGGTGTTATCAGTAAGATAGATCAAGCAGCTTCAGAGCCGAAGATTCTCGCAGCCGTTCAGGCTCTTTTGCTTAATCAAGGACCACCAAGCACATCTGATATTCCATGGGTTGCTTTGATTGGTCAATCTGTTTCAATAGCCTCAGCCCAGTCAGGAAATGTTGGGGATGATTCTTTAGAAACAGCTTGGCGAGCTGAGAGTGAAAGTCTTAAATCTATTTTGACTGGGGCTCCTCAAAGCAAGCTTGGTAGATTAGCCTTAGTTGAAACTCTTGCTCAGCAGATCCGTAATCGTATGAAACTCAGGCTACCAAATCTTCTTTCAGGGTAAACTTCCCTTTCCTTTTAAATCCCCCTAATGGGCAGACTTAGTTATAGAAATTGAAGTTTTTCTGAATTATTTTTATTTTATTTTCTGTAAACAAGTCCATTAATTTCTCTTGCAATATTAGAGTTTGATCCTGGTTGGTTTTCAATTTATTAAACTCTGGGTGAGTTGTCTAGTATGTTTGGTTCGTTTGTTCTTCATTTCTAGCAATACATTATCAAACTGATGAGTTGTCTAATATGAAGAGAGGGAGGGAGGGAGGGAGGGCTTCTTTTTGGACCATAGAGGGGTGGTCTATCTTGTATGGCAGTTGTGGCTTCCATATGGGTTGTCATACTAATAATGCATTCCTCTCTAAAGGATGAAATACCTATTTATGGAAATGCATCAAGATAAATGAAAAACAAAATTTACATTATTTAGTATAGCCTATTCTCTTTCTGCATTATGTTTTAGTTGTAACAAAGATAATATAATGTGATCACTTAGTGGGCAATAATAAACCAGAATTGATGATCTCCTTTTCAGAATACTTGAGTTCCTAGCTCCCTTTCCACTGCTATTTTATTGTTTACTCCGTATTTCTTTATTGTAAAGCGGTATATATTCTTGTTTAATTATTTACTCTCACAGGCTTCAGGACATGTCTCAATCAGTAAAAGATGAATTGGCAAAGCTTGGTGGACAGGTTCAAAGTGCTGAAGGCACAAGAGCTTTAGCTCTGGAGCTTTGTCGTGAATTTGAAGATACGTTTCTCCAACATCTTACAAGTGGTGAGGTGAGAATTTATATCTGCTTGGGATGTGAGACTCTCCTATTTTGTTATCTCATTTTCTGTTGGGTCTGCTCTTATTTCCTTTCCTTTTGTTATATTTCTGTCTAATAGACTCGGCAATGATTTGGTCTTGTAATATAGACATGAAAGTTTTCAATTTAACATGTTTATTACTTAAATCAATGCACAGAGAGAGAAAATATTGGTTTAGTTGGTCATTTATAGCTACTATTGTAATTTGAGTAGGGTATTGGATGGAAAGTTGTTGCAAGTTTTGAAGGAAACTTCCCCAATAGGATCAAGCAGCTTCCCTTGGATAGACATTTTGATCTTAAAAATGTGAAGCGAGTAAGTTCCCAGTCGCTAATGGTCTAAATTGACTTTATTTTCCTTTCATTTATTTTATTAAACCAGTGCCACTGTTGCTATTTATTATTTTTACAATCCATTCTCGATTGTCTCAGATTGTACTAGAGGCTGATGGTTATCAACCTTACCTTATATCTCCAGAGAAAGGGTTAAGGTCTTTAATAAAGACTGTACTAGAGATGGCAAAAGAACCTTCACAACTCTGTGTTGATGAGGTACTACTGCACAAATTTCTTGTTGCCTGCCTTGATCTGCATTGCTTTCCTTTTAGTTACTCATTCTACTTATTCCCAGTCAACTCTGATCTGCCATCAAATTGTCTCTTGCATTTCTTCCTCCTCCCTGGACTTCTTTCCATATTTTCGCTGGTTAATCACAATGCATTCATTACTTTCATGTTCAGTTTATTTTATACATTTGAAATTGCCAGTCATAGGATATTACAGGTGCTTCGATGAAAAAGATATATTTGCTGGCACTTTTGAGTATGTATTTATGTGTGGGTTCACCTTATTTGTTGTAACCTTAGGCATTTTCAGGTACTATGAGATGAAGACTCAAAGAAGCATTGCATATTCTTTTGTTTTACCTATCTTGCTCCCATTCTGAATTTTCTGTTTTACCTATCTTGCTCCCATTCTGAATTTTCTGACTATGAAATGTTACCCTTTAATACCTGTGAAAATCTGCTTTCTATGTAGTGCATGTATTAATCTTACAGCTTTTTTGCTGGCATGCATGAGCCTTTGTCATTTGTTTGATTTTCCCACTCCTGAAGCTGCTTTTGAAAATTTTCTAATAGGTGCACCGGGTACTTTCTGATATTGTCTTAGCAGCTGCAAATGGTACACCGGGTCTGGGGAGATATCCTCCTTTCAAGAGAGAGGTAAGCCTCATGCATTCTTTGAGCTTCTCACGAAAACTTCTATTGAGCTTGTAATTTACATAGGTTGTTGCAATTGCAACTGCTGCCTTGGAGAAGTTTAAGAATGAAGCAAAGCATATGGTTGTTGCACTTGTTGACATGGAGCGGGCATTTGTTCCCCCACAACACTTCATTCGCTTAGTTCAAAGGCGGTACGCTCAAATTTCTCATTATTCCATTATTACATCATAGGTTTTGTGTATAGGCTGTGTTGCTTATTATCTTAATATTGTGAAAACCTTTTAGTTCATTGCATGTATGGGGCAGAACAAAAGAATAAGAAAAGAGAGAGATATGAGGCTTTTTAGGAGTCTTAAACACTTAATACAGCTTTACTGCTTTATATTTTCATTAAAATAATTGAATGCGTGATGATTCCGTTTGATTGTTGGATCATCTGATGCAATGGGCCAATAAATGATCAACAGATATGATTGCTTTTCTACATCCTCCTGGGCACAGTTATTTTTGCCTCTTCTTGTGGTAATAATTTGATTAGTTTGTGCTATTTCATTTCCAGAGGTTCAGTCTGAACTGGAACAAGTATTCCACTTTATCAAATTATTATACGTTGTGGACTTGTGGCCATGATGTCATGATGATCTTCCCAAATTTGTTATTTGGTAAATTTAGTACCCTTTTGACGTTCTCCATAATGGATAGGTACCGACGAGATGAAGATCAAAGAAGCCGATCTTCTAAAAGGGCAAATGAGGCGGAGCAGTCTATATTAAATAGGGTAGAATGAAATCCAACATAGTTCAAATGCTTGATATTTTCCTACATGAATTATTGTGAAGCACTAGGACTTTGTCATCCTCTTCCTTTACTTGTTTTTCTGATTTTCTTTATTGTTCTATTAGGCAACCAGTCCTCAACCTGGTGGAAGCTTAAAATCAATGAAGGATAAGCCTACTCAGCAAGATAAGGATGTACCTGAAGGTCCGGTCTTGAAAACTGCAGGGCCTGAGGGTGAAATTACAGCAGGTCTATCAATAATTCCACTTCCAGTTTTTGAGATATTAATTCAAGACAAAGAATGGCTATTTAAAGTTTGGATGCTTAGTTTTGATAAGTTTCATCCAAACATGTTTATTTAGATAAGGTAATGTGCATTGAGTTCTTCTTAAGTAGGCCGGAAACTCTTTGCTGCCTCTTAAATATACTTTTCCATATTGGTTAATATTCTTTGTCCAGTCAAATACAAGTTCATTCATTGTCTACCCTTTATAAACAAAGTTCTTTATTTTTATAAGTATCAGTTAGCTTTTGACAATATATATACATGATTATGATTGCTTGTGTGCAGGGTTTCTATTAAAGAGAAGTTCTAAAGCTAACAGTTGGAATAAGAGATGGTTTGTGTTAAATGAAAAAAGTGGAAAGGTCAGTGGCAAGTTTTCCAACCACTCTCAAAGTCTACCATTTCTAAGAAATAAGAATTATTCCTTGATTCACCACAAACTTTCTCTTGATTTTATTTCTTCAATTTCAAGAAAGATGATTTCCTATATTTGCACTGTTTTCTAGATTGTGATCATTTTTGAGTCCCTTCAGTATGCTTTACTCTTTCACAGTGGAAGTCTTTGTATGTCAAAAGTAATTTATTAGAATTCTCAATGAAGTGCTTAAAAATATTTTTGTTTCTCCATACATTAAATGCCATGATTTAACACTCCATGTGATCAACCATCTCTAAAATTTTGCCATGCCCTGAGTATTTTGATTTGGTAATTGGCTGTTTGATTTTAATTGGATGTTCATTCCTTAATGGATGCCTGAAGTCAAACATACTTTTTGCAGCTTGGATATACCAAAAAACAGGAGGAAAGACATTTCCGTAGTGTCATCAATTTGGAGGTTAGTTAATGACAGCCATTACTTGAGATAAAATGTTTCCCAAGACTTCATAATGTTTCTGTTAGAGAAAAGAACCAGATAGACTAGAAACTAAAGAAAAGAAATAGGAAGTCACAAGACTTCCCCCAACAAGAGTTTTAGGCTCTTGCCCCACAAGAGTTTTAGGCTCTTGCCTAGCTACTAAAAGCTTAAAGACTAAGGAAGATTATTGGATGATTTACTCTCATCTAGAGATTCTAATTTATAGTGCTAGGAAATAAATAATTATAGAAAGGAGATGATTGTTGAGATGATTATGCCTCTATTTATTTTTAGTCAAATCCCTTGAGTTAAGCCTTCCTTGTATATTCTGATTTGCCTGATTTGCATCCTTCCTTTTTTTCTGAGTAAACCATCTCTTATTTTGGGTGCGTATCATTGCCACCCACCAAAGAAACAGCCTTGTCCCCAAGGCTAGATTGGAAAGACTGCCCTATATTGTCCGGTGTCGATTTGGTCAGTTACACCAGGCTCGTCGCTCGTTTCGTCCTCGTCATCCTCTGCTGCAATTAGAGTTTGCAAGGATTTATTCGGGCATACATGAAGCGGACTGTACGGTTGCTGACAACGGAAACAAAGTCCTTTGGCGCGCATGTCCATATACTCTTTGTTAGAATAATGTCGTGCCGGAGCTCGTGATGTTGATGTGCTGGAATTGCGTACTGAAGACTGCATAGCAGGAAACGCAGGTTGTGTTTGGGAGGAGAAGGAAGATGTTTGATTGCTGCCAGAGAATTGAGACTGGGTTGGAATGGGTTTGGGCTGTGAATAATTCGAAAAAGAATTGGTTTGGTAATTCTTCCCATGCCCATTAGACCAAGTAGACCCACTATGTGAAGGAATTATCTGGAGCACTGCATTTTCGTCTTGCAGATTGCGTCCAAGGAGCCGGCCTGTGGAGAGAAATTCAATTTCTCGTTCTGCCGCGCGAGCGACACGCATCGCTGTTCGGAGATCTGTCACATCATTCGGTCAGAGCCGCACCCGAATTGCAGGTTTAAAGCCATTGAGAAAAAGCCCTAATTGAATGTGAGGAGCAAGTCCAGGAATTTGGGCAATGCGAGCTCGAAACGCAGCGATGAATTCATCCACCAAGCCCGTTTGACGAAGAGCGGCAAGCTGTTCAAACGGTGGCCCAGGCAATTCATCGCCAAATTCTTCCAAAAGGTCATGTGTGAATTGAGTCCAAGTAAGAGTGGGTTGTTGTTGTTGTAACCATCGGAGCCAATGTAGAGCTGCCCCCTCCATACTAACGAAAGCTGTTGGGACCTTCAAATCCTCTCGAGTGTGATGAATGGCAAAGTACTGTTCCACTCTAGCTAACCACCCAATTGGATTGGTGCCTTCAAATGTAGGGAGTTCTGTTTTTCCAATGGGCAGCGAGGTGTTGTCTGGCTGAACATGTTCTGGGAGAGAGGTTGAATTCGGCGTTGGGATGGAAGTTGATGAAGCACTGGCATTGTTGTGCCCTCCGCCTTGGAAGGAGAGAGCGAGGAGATCAGACATCCTAGCCACAGAAGCTTCCAAAGCTGCAAATCGATCGTTCAATGTGGTCAATTCAGTACGGATTGCATCTTGGTTCTTCTCTAACGTCTCTATGCGGGAATCTCGTGTGTTCGCCATCCAACGGCAGGTCGGATCAATTTGTTAGAGAAAAGAACCAGATAGACTAGAAACTAAAGAAAAGAAATAGGAAGTCACAAGACTTCCCCCAACAAGAGTTTTAGGCTCTTGCCCCACAAGAGTTTTAGGCTCTTGCCTAGCTACTAAAAGCTTAAAGACTAAGGAAGATTATTGGATGATTTACTCTCATCTAGAGATTCTAATTTATAGTGCTAGGAAATAAATAATTATAGAAAGGAGATGATTGTTGAGATGATTATGCCTCTATTTATTTTAGTCAAATCCCTTGAGTTAAGCCTTCCTTGTATATTCTGATTTGCCTGATTTGCATCCTTCCTTTTTTTCTGAGTAAACCATCTCTTATTTTGGGTGCGTATCAGTTTCTCTTGTCACTTAAATATGAACAAGAAATCTAGGACATTATATGTTCTATACTCTTCTGTCTTTTAAAGCTTTCAGCATAAAGGTCATGAAAGCATATTACCTACAAACTCCCATTCACATTTATCAAACACAAGTACGCTTTAATCACAAAGTAGTTGGGTCCAAAAATTCCGTGCATGTTCTTTGTTCAAAAAGTTGCTTTCTTCCCTGCTCACCAACATGTTTTCTTCCTTGTTCAAAACCTTTTAGGTGGGTGTGTTTTAATTTATTGCAAGATTGCATACCATTATCAGTTTGGTTAGTTTTGTGTCTACAGTTATTGCTTGCCTAAAGAAAAAAAAAAAAAAAAAATATATATATATATATATATATATATATATATATATACTGACACATAAGAGATTTTTATTCCTCTGTTAGGCTGTAGTGAGTTAAAAGTAAGAAAAGCATCTGTGCACATCTATAGTCCAAAGAGGATGCGTTGTATAACTGTTCTGTGATTGTGTCTTTTGGACATCTAGAGTGTGTCCATTTATGCTTCAGAGGTTTATTTAGTTTATTTCCACATGTTTCAGAGCACAGATTGTTGAATTTCTCCAGTCAGATTCATAGATAAAGATGGAGGAACTTCATTCATTTGTTTTATTGAAAATTTCAGGAATGTAATCTTGAAGACCTTTCTGAGGAAGAGGAAGCAGCAGTTTCTAAGAGTTCCAAGGACAAAAAGGAAGCTGCCAATCTAACATTCAAAATTACGAGCAGGGTTCAGTATAAAACTGTTCTTAAAGGTAGCTGTTAAGAGTCTATATTGATAAAATAAGAAATAACATATGGGTTTTTAAGACCATGAGTTAGACTAGTTAATTGGTTGGATTCAATCTTTTAGTGTGTTTTGGCCTAGATGCATTATAGCCCAATTGAGTAACCCTTTTATAACATGGTATCAGAGTCTGGTCCAGAGCTTTCGTTTCAGGGGAGGGACTGCCATCTTTTGTTGGATTACTTTATTTTGCTATCTCTTTTTCCCCTTTTATTTCCCTTTAAATACAAATAGCTTGATCAAATACCCTGACCAGTTTCATGAAATAAAATTTCCAAACTTAGGCATTCACTAAAGCCTTAAAAAAATTTACTATTTGAAAGGGTTAGTTTGCTATCCTCTAATGAGGCTTCCTTCCATAACTTCCATACCATGCAGACTAAATTCTGAATTGGTATTGCAGCACATAGCAATGTGATTTTAAAGGCAGATACTGTGGCAGAAAAGAATGAGTGGATAAACAAGTTGAAAAATGTCATAAGTTCTAAAGGAGGTCAAGTGAAGGCAGAAATTGGTGTTGCCATTAGGCAAAGTTTTTCTGATGGTTCAATTGTAAGTTGTAAGAGCAGTACTTCTCGTTTTGAATTTGTGTCTTTTTACAAGTTTCTTCCTGCCATTGACTGTATAAAGTTAATTTTTAAACATGTGACATGCTTTCTTATCTTCTCTTCAAAAACCTCTATTTATGAGTTGATCTCTTGGTGCCACTTGAATAGTATCAGTCTGGTCTACCAAATACTTGACATGTTATATTATCACAGGATACAATGGCTAAGAAACCTGTAGATCAAGAGGAAGAACTTCGATTGATGGCTCAGGAAGTACGGGGATATGTTGAAGCTGTTATGAATAGCCTCGCAGCCAATGTCCCTAAAGTCAGTGTAATTTTCATATTTGTTTTCCTTTTATATCTCTTCTCTTCTAATTGGTTGTCTAAAAGCTGCTTTCTTTTTATCTTGTTTTTAGGCAGTTGTTCTGTGTCAAGTTGAAAAGGCCAGAGAGGACATGCTTAATAAGTTGTACATTTCTATCAGGTTAGCAGTTGCATTGTTCCCTTCAAACACACCATGTTTGCCAGCCAGCATCTTTGCATTATATTAAGATATTACCTTACCGTCATCATTTTAAATTTTTTTTACATGTAAACAGTTCATTGTGGAAAACGTGGTTGAAAATATATACCCTTTTTATTGTGCAACCCTGATATAACCTATATATTATAAGTTGAAATAAAATTCTTCCATTTTAGTGTTTTGTTTTGTCTTTTGTGCTCTCATCTTCAGTATTGTCACATTTTGATTACTGAATTGCAATTGATAGTGGACAAAGTTTGGCGAGGATTGAAGAACTACTGATGGAAGACCGAAATGTAAAGCGCAAGCGGGAGCGTTGTCAAAAACAGTCCTCTCTTATTTCTGAGCTTACTCGAAAACTAAATACTCTTGACAGCCGGGCTTCTACTGCTTCAGATTATGATGGAGCTGGTATTTTTATCCCCCTACCTTCAACATCTATTTTTCATATATATGCTTGTGTGTTGGTTTCCAATGATTACACTTTCTCGAGCATATAGGCATATATCATATTAACAAATAACAACAGCCTCACTGGAGCCAAACTCCAGGGGGATTCTATTGCACTTATTGGGTGTTTTGGTTGGGTGTAATTGAAATGCACTTACAACACAATTCTTTGATCTCCCAAGTTAGTGTTTGATGCAATTCACTCCCAAATTATAGTGTTTGAATGCAATTCACTCCCAAATTACAGTGTTTGATGCAATTCGCTCCATTTGTTGAATTAGAATTCATGCCTCCCCTTATGAATTCCAATTCAACGTAACATTAGAAATAAAAAAGATATGAAAATGACATTTTTACTCTTAATAATAATAATTATTATTATTGTTATTATTATTATTATTATTACAAAATGGTATTTGAGTCTTTATGTCACTTTTTCCCTTCACATTTTCAATAATTCGATTCTTTGTAACTCGAATTCCTACTTTATTCTCACTTTATTCGAAATTACAGTTCTTTTCTCCCTAACCAACCAAATTAGTAATTAACTTGAAATTTTCAAAAGTTGAGAAAACTAATGGATTGGTCAGTTTTCGATTTTGTGTTCTTATGATGTTTCTCTACATGTATTTTTCTTTTCTAATGCAGAAGGAAGACATGGCGATTACTCGAGACATGGCGATTACTCAAGACATGGCGATTACTCGTCAAGTGATGATTGGTCATCTGCATTTGAGCCCGCTTCTGGTGGCCAAAGCTGGGATTCAAGAGGACGCCGGGCGCCTTCTCGGCTGCCGCCTGCGCCACCAGACTTTGCATCCACCTCTAGATATTAGACTACAGAACTGTACCAAGACAGACGTAGGTCATGTTGGGATGGGGTGGTTCATTCATTCCTACCATTGTTCTTCAGCTTTCTACATTTTTTTCTACTGGCTTCCAGAGCAATGCCCAACCTTTCTCTTGTCCCAAAACTAAAATATCTCAACTTGTTTAGGTTTAATTAATTAGTTAATCAGGAAATTTCCTTTGTTAGCCTAGAGCTCCAATTTTGTTACATTTGTAAAGTTGTTACTTTTCGTAGCCTTCACAATAGGAAAATGCTATTTGGGCAAAAAAAAAATGTACCAGTTACACTAAACATAATATTATCACTTTCCAATAAAAGTAAACTTTTTTTGCTGTACACGTATGAGATTCTCATTCCGTTATTCACAACTTTTCTGATTGGAGGTATTGACCAAGACACTCCCCCTCCCCCAAACATCTTGACGTTAATTATATGTACAGTATAAGCAGCCAAGAGTAGTTTGCTTTTAGTGGCCTGACCTTTATCATCCCCGGAGACTACTAAGGGAAAATCCTTACTTCAGCTCCAGATCGTCCTTGAAGGGACCTGAATCGTGTAATAGCTTCATCACAAGTTTAAGCTGTAGGAAAAAAAGTTAAAATCATTCATTGAGATTTCATGTTTAGGAATAATTAGGAGAAAAAAGCATGTGAACTAAGGCATCTCCATGTGACTCGCAAGCCGCTCGGTCAACGCTCGAGCTGGCTCGTTTTGTAATCGAGCCGAGCTCGAGCATGTTTTAGGCTCGGCTCGAGCTCGGTCAATTTCAAGCTCGAGCCAGTTCATTTCATAACCGAACCGAGCCGAGCTCGAGCCTACCTATTGTTTATCGAGCTTGAGCTCAAATGTTTTAGGCTCGTAGCTCGTTGAGCCGCTCGCAAGCCATATATATAATATATAATAATATATATATAATTATAGACGAGCGGCTCGCGAGCCGCTTGGTCAAAGCTCGGGTCGAGCTCGAGCCAGTTTATTTCATAACCGAGCCAAGCTTGAACTTCAATTTTCGAGCTCGAGCCTACCAATTGTTTATCGAGCTCAAGCTCGGCTCAGCTTGTTTACACCCCTAAGTCACACCAAAAGGTATTAGAAATGTTTCCAACTTGAATGAATAGTCACCTGAGCAGCTTCTCGCACCAAGAAATCGGTAATGACATCCCTGAACTCTTCATCCACAAGATAATGACTGCTGTAAGTAGTGACTGGCAGATATCCCCTTTGGATTTTATGTTCACCCTGAGCTCCTGCCTCAACTGTTTGAAGATTAAGCTCTATTGCTGCTTCAATGGCCTAAAACAAGAAGCAAAATGAAGTCAGTTTTCACCCATTTTGTATTCTAGTCTAGTCTTAGTGAATGCTACTTTGCTCCAACAAGGTTCTGCACACATTTCATATTCCTGTCTTTTGAACTGCCTGTTTTGTATCTGCGGAGCCGGATATCATATCAAAGGTTTATTGCATATAAGAAAGACATCACACATTTTAACAATATTCAAATCCTTAATCTTGCATTAAGGAACTAAAACACGTTCTGCATGCATTTCATATTCTACTCACTTTAACTGCCTGTTTTGTATTAAGGGGATATCATATCAAAGTTTTATTGCATATAAGAAAGACATCACACATTTTAACAAGATTAGTGTTCTTAATGCAAGATGAAGCACAATTTACCAAATTGTCCACTAAGGGAGCTTTTATTTTAGCAGTGTACTAAATGATAAAATAAGTGGCAACCTGGTAGTAGCAAGCTTCGAAATGCAAGTTTGGGTAATAGGCTTCTGGAAGGCATCCCCACAAGCGCCCGTACAATGTATCTCCTCCAATAAGATTAAGAGCTCCAGCAACAAGCTCATCTCCGTCTTCAGCAACAATAAGCATTACTTGATCACCCATCTTTGAACCCATATGGTGAAAGAAATCTCTTGTTAAATAGGCACTACCCCACCTACAAGACCAACATCAGAATTCAATGAGATGCAGTGGTTGTTCTTAATAACCCAAAGGGAAGTATGGTGAGTAGCATAATACTAGCTGAATACAATTTTCTAAATCATGGTATTGTACAAATAATTGAAAAGCTCAAATGAATCAACTGAACTTGTTGTCTGTTGTATTCCTGTAGAACTGATAGAATGTATCCCAGTGCTTAGCCTGCCAAAATATAGCAAGAAACATGGTAACTAATTATTATACAGAAAACATGCAGGTAAAATCTATATCATTGGCGTTATACAATCATGCTGTTGCGTCAGCTTTACCTTGATTTCATATCCTCTTAAGCGCTTCATGGTCAGATTTTGCGAAGAAATCTGCAATAAGTTATTGTAGCAGGAATTATAGGCTGAAAAAAAGTCACTGACCTTGATGCCCATCAACATGCAATATATAGAGGATAATTTTACACGTGAATAAGAAATTTGGGAACCAACCTTCTTGCGCTCTTGACGAATATTTTTCCTTTTACTTTGCTTCATGTCCATCAAAAATTCATCAAAGCTGAAAAAAAAAAAAAAAAAGGAATTAATAATAGCACTAAAAATCAATATTATAGTCAAAGACCAGATGATGGAATTGAAGACACTCTCTCCTTATCCCATTTTACTAGTTGTGTACTATTTGAAGGTCAAATCAATTCTTCTTTGTTTTCTAGATTATTTTTACAGTTCTTATTATTTTTGGATTGTTGTGATTAATACAACTTTTAATATAGTCTTTAAATATGCACATTTAATTTGCTTAACAATAAATTGAATAATATAAAATTAAATTAAATTTTAAGCAGTTTGAGGTAATCCTTAATTCCTTATTAACTGAACCAAATACATGAAGTGGGATGGAAGGAGTATTTCATTATTCTAAGAATCAAACTTAGTGGACTTTGCTATGTATGTCTATGTAACATCATGCCTCTAGTGAAAAGCATGAATAACAATGAAAACACAAGTGATTTGAAGATGAACTTTAAGGGACCACAAAAATTAGCTAAACAGATGCATTTATCAGAAGTGCAAGACATAGAAAAACAAACTTCTTTGAACCATAATTATTAAAATGGTACACAACTACACATTCAAGTCGCTTAACATCACTTCAAACTTTGAAAGAGAAGACTTGGGGGTGTAATGAATAATAATTGATAGAAAATTTAAAAAACTGATTTAGAAGGTAATATCATATGATGAAAAAGAAGATATCAAAGACTGAAGTACCAAATCTTCACCATCAGTTAAGGACCAAAGAGACTACAAATACTCACTTTTTGTAGTTACGGTTTTTCCAGTGGTACTGCATTCCAATCCTCTGCAAAAAACCTTTTTCCCCCAATTTCTCCCACTCGTTCGAAGAGTTAAAGGTAATATGAAGAGATGACACCTTAAGCTGTCAGGGTAAATTAAAATAGAATATCAAAATACAGTGCTTAAAATAGGCTACAACTCTCTCTTCTTTTTTTTTTTTTCTTTTTAAATAATTTTTAGTAGTTTGAGTAAATTAAACTAAAGCAACCATGAAATTGATTAGCCCTAAAATTCAAATTTTGGTGAAAAGAGCAGTGTAGAAACTGTCTAATTTACAATTAATTAGTCGGTAAAAGTAGCCCTTGATTTTTGGTGAACATTAAATTTGTAAACTGTATATGGGAAAAGAGTCCTATTGCAAGGAAAAAGTCAAGGCAAAATAAGTTTAAAACAAAATACATCTAAAAGCAGTTCAACATGAAGAAATATATACCTTGACTGCCAAATCCTTCATTGCAGAGACTAACATATCAAAAACTTCCTCTCGATATGACGTGTTACGGACTAAGATCCTTGGGCTGGTAACTGGAGTGAAAGGTATAGAACACTGCAATTTTGGATAATAGCTCAAACCATAACTGTGATAGGCATTTGCCCAAGAATGGTCAAACACATATTCGCCATATGAATGGCTGCAGATGAGGATCAAGGTATTAGCAAACTACATTTTTCAAAGATCACTAAGGGTTTACCTTAAGAGAATAGATAGATGCCAAACCTTTTGAGGTAGAGAGGAATAACACCTAAAACATTTTTCAATTCATCCCGGGCAATGATGTGTTGTGGTATCCAGCCTGTCTTCTACAAATGGATATAAGATACAATGAGAAAATGTTAGTAAATTGTTTGACATATTACTTTCCATGATTTGATGACTCATGCATCTTATGATCTTAGGATTAGGAAACCAGAGTTTAATTTACACTGTATCAACCTAAATGGCTAAATCCAAAAAACTTTTTACTTTTCAGCATTTATTTTACACTATATCAACCAGATCCATAGTGAAGAGGCTACAATCCAGGAAATTCTTGTATGGTGCTTTGGAGAAGAGCAAGGTGAGGACAGGAGTGGGAAAGAGTTAAGCATCCCCATAAACATCTACTTGTATCCACAACGAAGCTTTGTTTATGAGGATAAAACTATGAGAAATGCCTATCATACAAAGTGCTATTTTAAGACCCTATGGTACTAAAAAAGTAAAAATAACTCATGTAGAAGGACATATTCAATTCACAATCCATGATTCATATAAGCTACAACAAATGAATATATGGCAACTTCTTAATTTTTCTTTCTTTTCAAACACTTTTGGATGAGCACACGTAACTCAAAGAGAACAAACTAAGGATGTATATATGTTTCACTAAAATGGTAAAACACATAAACAGGTCAGCCAACTAATTGAAACCAATTAACATCCATAAAATTCTTAAATACAAGTCATTGAAGTGATAGCTGCAAACCTTTACTGCACTACCAGATTCCTCTAAGCTTGATAGAAAAGCATGGGTAAGAAATGGATTAAATTGTTCAGGACCAGTTGCATCAAGACTGCATGCATCCCACTCTTCTGGTGAAACCTCTGATATAGAGGAAACCACAGAAACCAATATCTTCTTTCCCAAATTTTCTGAGTCTCCCTAACATTAAATATCAACACATTACCATTTGAATAACAATCAGAAAGAGAATTGTAATAGACTAATAACCATAGCCTTTGGAACCATTATAAGTAAGAACCTCTGATCCCTTCCCTAGCAGAGAGAATTCCCCCAGCGTAAGATCCTTCACATTAGGCTGCACAGTTTTCCTTGGACCCCAAAAGAGTGCTTGTATCTTGAATTTGCAAATCGAATTATCAGCAAATCGCCGAGGAGAGGATTTCCACTGCAGTAGGGGAATCTAAGTCTTACTCTTAATGTAAAGTATTTTTAAATTTTAACTGCGTTCACAGTGAGCTTATTGAAAATTTGAAATACAACATATAATGCATAACAGAAGCAAGTAGTAAAGAGTTTCAAATAATAGAAACAATTTTAAGTAACAATTAACTCATTTCATCAACAGCGCAATGATAAATTTCTGTCAACACCACGGAATCAAACACCACTTCATGTAAACAAATATCTCCTCAGTCCTCTTTTATGCGGTCTAACTTAGCGTATAGATCGATAGAAGAGACTCAATAGAGCTCGAACAGATTATCTTATTCGAGACGAAATTGCTAAAAATAAAGCTTCAAAGTTATAAATAAAATAGTCCAAGCGAAGAACAGAAATCGTAATGGCGCACGAACATCAGTTACTAGCAAAAACCTCGAAATAGTGATGAATTTAGAAGTGAATCGGAAATTTTGAAATATATGCGCGCGCGCGAGATTGAGCGCACTGCGTATATATGTGCGAGTGAATTAGAGATAAGTAGATAACAGGAGAGAAGATTACAGTGTGAAGTGGCTTGTGGCCGAGAAACGGAGAGGTAGCCGCCGCCGCCGCCATGGCTGCAACCGCTGAGGTCGGCGAGACTTCAGTCTCACACTCTCTCGCTCAGAGACTGAAGTCGGGGGCAAGCCTGTTTACCGCCGTGAGTTGGATTGGTGGTTCATGCTTCATCTTTTTATTTATTTATTTATTTAAACTTTTAATAATAGAAGACAAATTATGGCCGTGCCGCCATATCCGGGTTGTTTTTTTTTTTTTTTTCCTGCATTTTTATAATTTGATGTTTATGACTTTATGCAATTATGCCAAGTATCTTTTGATAACGCATCACTGTTATCATTTTAAATAAAAGGTCATAGTTTTGAGACTCATTTTAATTAAAGAATGTTGACATAATTATAATATTATACTTAGCATTAAATTGTACTCACCGTCCACCCAAAAAAATAATTTGATGTTTATATTTTTTAATAAGCTTAAGAGCTGACGTGGAAATTAGTTGTGCTTTTAGAGCATTTATAATAGTTGATTTTTTTTTTTGTGGTTTTTAATAAAATTTTGTAAGTGTGATTAGAAAAGAAAAAATGTGATGAAAGAGACAAAAAAAAAAACTGATTAGCTGGTTTAACGCGTAGGCGCAATTTTGATATTCACGCGACATTAATGCTTAGTAAATTGAAATGATGGGACTCACAAATCTGTAAAAAACTAATACCTTGCAGGGGATATTTTTCTTCTCTCTCTCCACATTATCACTCCTCTACATCACATTGCATTTCTTAAAAATCGTGTAAAAATCTTACAAAATCTACTGATGTAGATGCTCTGTCATGTCTTGGTATGATTGTAGCATCTCTTTATTATTATTATTATTATTATTATTATATTATTATTATTATTTGGGTTAATTTGGTCATATTTCATAAATGAATTTAAAAATTTTGTGATTCTTGGTTCAATTGATAAGGTGCAAAGTCGATGTTTTTAGGAATAAGCGTGTCATTGAACTTATTAGGTATATAGTATTGATTTACCGAGTTGGAAGACTCTGTGTGTCGAGTTTGACCATTACTTGGCCACCTCTGTTGGAATAGTTAATATTACTTGATGTTGATATCCAAGCGTCGTAAAACTCGCATTGTAATCCTAACTAACAAAGAAATACAATGGGATAAACCAAACAGATTTAATAAAAAATCCACAAACACTAGGCAAGATGCACTTTGAGTGAAATATGCCTTGTGACACTAGCCGGCAAATGACAGCAGTGAAGTAAATTATCCTAAGTTGCCCATAGCTGAGCCGCATCGGAATGCAGTCATCTTGATGAAGCCCACCACTAATCTAAGTTATTTATAGCTGATAAAGTGAACGGCTCAAGCCAATAAAATTAATAGACAATTCTCATATAATCAAACTTATAATATTGTAGTTATCCAAATAAACACTCCAATCAACTCACTTATAATTGTCCCACAAGTCAAGATAGTTAGTATTCTGATTATTAGAAAACAATAGAAATTGCAATAAAACAAATCTATAATTATATATTTTTGTATTATAATATTAGATATAAATAAAAGATATCAAAATATCAATTAGCTTTTGGGAACCACTAGAAGTGAAAATCAAAATACTCAAACATGATTAGACCCGTTAATCTTGCCTTATAATCTCCGCATTAACAGTCACGAACTCGATCAACATGCGGCGCACATGAATCTTTGGTCACTTGAATTCTCGTACGTGAAAACACGGGAAGAAACAACGGAACAGGTGAAACCCGACATCAATCACGCATCCGAATCCGCCCGCACCTCTTTCGCTTCTGATTGCCGGGCCGGCAGCCGCCGTCGCCGGAACTCCATACACCGGATTCGGATCCATATACTTCTGATAACTCTCTGTAATATTTTCCGGCGGCGAGCTCATAGGATCACCGTCGTCTTGTGAAGTTTTTTCAGTGGTTTGGCGGCTTGGGTTTGCAGATTTTGGAGCATCAATGGTAATGGAGATTATGTCTTCTTCTGCCAGCAGAATGGTGTCGTGGGTTTCCTCCTCGAAGGCCCCGAAGTCGACGCCGGGGGGCAGCGGCGGAGCAGACGGCTCGACGGGGCTGTACGGGTAATAGCAATGGCAGCACGGCGGCGGCGGCGGCGGTGGCGGACGACGAGGCGGAGGAGGGGGTGGGATGTGGTCTTTGAAAGGAGGCTTGATGAGCTTTTTCTTCTTCTTTCTCGACCAGAACTTGAGCTTCTTCATGGCTTTGATCATCTTCATGGCTGCGCTCAGTCTGAGGGTGGCAGTGACGATGATATGAAAGATAGTGTAATTTTTTGAAAGGGAAAGATAGTGTAATTGGGAGAAATGATTCAAAAATGAACCGTTAAAAAGAAAGAGCTTTTTAAAAATTCAAAAGTTAGGCGTTTCTCATCATATTCCGGCAATCCGGACTGACCGTTTCTTTCTTTAGCTCCCCTTTGATTTTGAGATGAAAATGATTCATTGATTAGGTCGAATATTGGCCTGGTCCTATTTAAATACTCAGTTCGTCTCATTTTATGTGTCGAGTTCATTTAATGAGGCTTGATTGAAGTTATTTCTTAATTTAATTTTTTAATTCACAAGTTCGATTGCCTACCAACCTGGCCTTCACATTTGATCAACTTTAGATATGTCTAACAAAATCTGGTTGTTTGGACAAGGAAGCTTCTATTTGGCCCAATGACAACTCACCGTCAATAAGATCACAAATTATGCTGTGGAAACATGTTCACCATACGCTGGGTGAACACATAGGTAGATCCATAATTTCTATGCTGTAGATCCATAATTTCTGTAGAAATTATGAATCTACCGTATAAAAATTATGGAGATCCATAATTTCTATGATGTAATAATTATGGATCTATCACGTATTCACTATGCACGGGATAAACACAGTTCTACAGCATAACTATATATTGTAATAAGATATACGGATGCAATATATTTTTTTTAATAGGATATTGTAATTAATTTTCGTTTCTTTAAAGTATACTTGTCTGCCATTATTGAGATTTACCTTAGAATGCTACTCTCATTTTGTGCATTTAGAAAAATAATAAATAAATCAAACCAATGCACCGTTGCAGAGTTGATCTAATGAAAATTTTATAATTATATGATTTAATTCATCGTGACTCTCCCAAATAGGTGGTCAACTTTTTGTGCTTCAGTATGTTGAGAAAGTATATTTGAACCAATACTACTTTGTAACAGAGTCAGAAATACTCAAAAAATATGAATTAATTAATTCATGAGCAGGCATGAGACTATGAGTTACATCAATCTAGTTAATATAATGGGCGTGAATTACAACAATCAATTTAGGGATAATAATCTATGAATGGACTATTATAAGCGACCCTAACATTTAAAGTTAGGATGACTAATCTTCTTATTACCAGTTACCATTTCTTTGAAAGAATTGATTTCGAATAGAATCCGTCCGGTCTAAGATTATACTCCATATAAAGAGAACACGCTCTAAATCAGAGAGTTATTGTATGAATAAAATCCCATCCAAATTTGATTAGATTAGTCTTGCTCAACTAGATGCAAATGTGGCAAATGTAAGTGTGAAAAGGTAAAGAGAAACATAAACTAATAAATTTTATTATTTGCCAAAGCTCCATACCACATCTCATCAAACCACAGCAAACCTCATCTGATAGTGACCCAAGTGATGACAGACATTACAAATTCTCCTTCACTATAATTCATAACATACTTACTTATAATAATGATAATAATAATAATAATAATAATAAAAAAGCATATATAATAGCAGCAAATATAAATAGAACTTAACCCAACCCCTTCTAAAAAGACCTCAGCACAACCATCCACGATCAATTTACTCTGCAGATTTCTCATCAGTAACTTCAGCGGCGGCGGCGGCGGGTTCCTCCGCCGCAGCCTCGGCGACTACGGTCTCCTCTGTGGCGGCCTCGGCCGGTGGAGCCGGAGCTGCTTCCTCGGTCTTGGTTTCAACCTCCTCGGCTGCTACTGGCTCTGTTACCTCGGCCGCTTCTTCAACTGCGGCGGCGGCCGGCTCCTCCGCCTTCTCTTCTGCCGGCGCTTCGGGTTCCGCGACGGCTTCCTTAGTCTCGACGGCGACTTCGGCAGCCGGCGTCTCCGCTTCTTCTTCGGCTGCTGGCTTCTCCGCCGCGGGCTCTGCAACTTCCGGGGTTGTTTCTTCCACCGGCTTCTCCGCCACCGCCTCAGGCTCCGCCGCAACCGCTGGTTCCTCCGGCGCTGGCTTCACCTCAACTTCCGGCGTGACATTCTCTACGATCGTTGCCGGAGATGATTCAACCTGCAGTTTAACGAAGCAAAACCAATCGATCAAATGCCAAGAATTAAGCTGCAAATCATTGATTGATCCAAAAGGAAAAAAAGCCAGAAACACAGATCATTGCTGGATCATTGCCAACTTTCATCTTAGTTTCAAGAACCATCAAGATCATGAATAAACACCCAAAAAACCAACAGATCTTCCATTGATCAAGCTTACCCATATTTTCTTTGAAAATTTTAAGACATGGGAAATCATCAAAATGGTTAAAAACTGAGCTCAAATCACCACCAAATTACAATCCTAGCCAAGTTGATTAGACTTGGTAAGATTATAAGTTTAACGACTCCCAACAAAAACGACCTATTGACTGGTTTCAACCAAAAGACAACCTAGACTAGTCTGGACCACCTTGGATCAAACAAATCGGATACACACTCTCAGATAGTGACTGGGTTTCCTCGTCATCCAAAAAAAACACAGAAAACATAGTATGATCTAGATATCAGTTGATGACCATCACAGATGATCAAATTATTCATCATCAGAATAAGAAAAACCCAGCAACAAATGCTGGGTTTGTGGGCTGATGATGAATCATATGAATGGATCAAAGACAGCAGATTCAAGTGAAAAAGAAAGAGAAATATGTAATAATGCAAAACCAGTACTGGAGAGAGTATAGTACCTCAACAGTGGCCATTTGAAGGTTTGAAGGAGATGGGAAAAGAATAGTGCAATGGGGGCAAGCAAAGGAAAGGTGGCAACTTGATTGCTTGATGAGAAGAAATGACCAATCTGAGAGCTTTATATAGAGGTGTAAAACCAACTGTATTAATTTTTTTAAAAAATAAAATTTGAAAAAAAAATTAAAATTTTATTTTTAAAAAAATGGAATTTGAGGGATGGGATCATTTCATTAAAGAATCTTTAGATTAGGCAAATTGACATCTCACATCACTGACATAAAAGGAGTACAAATTAAAGCCCCTTGTCTAGTTGTAAATGTTTTTACTTTAGAATTTTTTTTTTCTTATTTTAATTAATTACAAAATTTTAATTAACCACATTATTATTACTAATTTAAAATAGTTAGCTTATCAACTAATTTTTTGACTTATTTAATCAGTATTAATTGTTTGATTTAGTTAAAAAATTAATATAAGTGTTTGGTTAATTAGCTTTTTTAACTCTAAAATGCTAAAATTCAAAAAGTCGTTCAAAACAACTTTTTCAATTAGTTTTTTTAGAAAAGAAATTATATCAAACAGTTATTAGTTAACAAGTAATTTACCAAACACCTTCTTACAATCAACTACTGTTATCAACTAATTATACCCTCTAATTAACTCAATCAGCTAACAGCTCAGCTAACAATCATTTACCAAACAGGGCCTAAGTATTCGATCTTGAATAAGAGAATACAATGGAACAGATAAATGCTGATATAATGGCCGTGTTTAGTAAAATAGCTAGCTTATCAGCCACAATTTTGACTTATTTGACCACTATTAATTGTTTGACTTGGTTAAAAAAATGAATATAAGTGTTTGGTTAATTAGCTTTTTGTAACTTCAAAATGCTAAAATTTAAAAAGCTATTCAAAGTAACTTTTTCAATTAGTTGTTTGAGAAAAGAAATTATATCAAATTGCTATCAGCTAACAGCTAATTTACCAAACATCTTTCTACAATCAACTAATATTATTAACTAATTATACACTCTAATTAACTCAATCAGCTAACATCTACCCGCTATCACCTAACAGAATATCTCCATCTAATATATACACACAATTCGTTTTATGTTAAAAATGATTATATATATATATATATATATATATATATATATATATATATATATATATATATAGTCTGACACTTCATTCCTATTCTTTTTACATAGTATCCTTTTCCAATAGTTGTTAAGTACACCATGGTGTGCCTGTTTATTCAATAACTTTCATGTGATAGTACAATAATTTTGCGAAAAATAATGGGAATAATATTACAATAATAAGAAATTTTACGATGGCAAAAAAAAAAAAAAAAAAAAAAAAGAAAAAAAAGAAAGAGAAGATGGATTGCCTTTTACTATAAATATGCCACAATACATTTTTATTTATAGTATCAGACATCACTGATAAGATGTTGTCAATAATTGAACTCCTAGCCATCTAGTACGAGAACTATGTTCAACCAACTCGACCACCACTTTCAGGGCATAGAGACTATATATTCTAATTTTTTTATAAGAGTAAAAAATATGAATAATGTTTCAATTAAAATAAAAAATTACCACGACATCGCTCAAGTTATATATTAATTTCCCTTAAAATGACAACATAACTTATTAGATTCAATCACAAAAATGTTTCGATATTTTCTTTTAGTTTACTACATTATCTAATCAGAGTACGAGTGAATCTAACTAATAAATTTAAACTAAAATGTTATGATTGAATTTACAATTTGTTCGATTAGATGCACCAAAAAATATATAAATAATGTATCATAATAAATGGCCATTTCTTTTATTATATATATATATATATATATATATATATATATATATATATATATATATAATTAATGGTGTGACATAGGAAAATTAAATTAGTATATAATATTTTATTCATTAATTAATTAATTTAGCCTTTTTTGTACGTTGATAATTGGTTGTCTAAATGCTATTGTCTATAGGAAAAAATGGCAATGCCACATGGTGGTGGTGGCCATTTTAGATAGCAGCTATCATATCTTTTCCCTGAGTGGCTTATTGTGTGTTTTGTGCAGTAGGGCATGCAGGGGGCTGTCATCATCATGCTTTCATGTTATTACCATTTCTTTCAAAATAGTTTTAATTAATTAATTATGTTAAATTAATTTTCGATAAGATCTCAATCGAATTAATTGGTAAAAAAAAAAAAAGAGTAAATTTTAATAGTATTTTTAATTTATATTTTTATTAATTACATGAATCGAAATTAATTAACTCCAACAATATTAGTGTGATCTATTTGTCATAAAGTAGTTGGGCGGTATGATTTCACTCGAAGGATTCAAAAAAAGTGAAACGGTAAACAAGGTAACAGTGATCTATTGTCATAAAGTCATCACATGGGACGGCATGATTTCATTCGAGGGATTCAAAAAGATGAAGATCGTAAACAAGGTATGTAAACGTGATCTGTAATCATAAAGTCACATGGGGCGACGTGATTTCACTCAAGATATTCGAAAAGATGAAGACCAAATGCAAGGTAATCGTGATATGTTGTAATAAAGTTGGAGCGGCACAATTCCAGTACTCGAGGTATTCAAAAAAGTGAAGACGGTAAACAAGGTAACCGTGATTTGTTGTCATAAAGTCACATGGGGCGGCCTGATTTCACTCGAAAGGATTTAAAACTATGAAGACCTTATGCATGGTAATCGTGATGTGTTGTCATCATGAATGTGAGGCATGATTACACTTGAGTGAATCAAAAATGTTAAGACCGTAATTAAGGTAAGCGTGATATACTAATATGTCGTTACAAAGTTGGAACATGATTCTACATTAATGGTTCGAAAATGTGAAGACCATATACAAGACAATCGTGATGTGTCAGTATCATAAAGTTAAGGCATGATTTCACTAGACGAGTTCTAAAATGTGATCGAAGACTATATATAAAGTAATCATGACGTGTCCGAATAAAGTTAAGACATAATTTTTTCTAAGAAATTTTAAAAGGTAAAAATCGTGAACAAAAAAATCATGTCGTATCATCATTTAATTGATACATACCAACCATTGTAACTCTAGCTGCATACAATACATGCAGTCTCTTGCATTTTGGGATTGGATCTGATAAAAAAACCACAAATAATTAACAACCTTCTAAAATGAATAAATAAATTTAGAATATTAAAAAAAAAATTGTAGGCAAATATATATATATATATATATATATATATATATATATATATATATATATATTTGTAGGTAGAATAATTGGCCGGATCGTGGAAACCATCGATAATACCAACATGATGCATCATGCAAAACCATGCAGATTATGGTCCTCGTTTAAGCATACAACAAATCATTATTCTTAGATCATTCGATTCCCCAGATAACAATGTAAGTGTAACACTATTCACAATTGTCTCTAAAAGGTAGTGATGGGTCATGGCAATTTTTATTTATTTATTTACTATTTTTGTATAGAGCAAGAAACGTAAAACTAAAATTAAAATATTAAATAATAATAATAATAATGATAATAATAATAATAAGTTTTAAACATAGTTTACAGAATTACAGTTGATATCTTTTTTTTAAAGTTTCATTTGGAAATAAAAAATGTTGAATATATAATTTTTATTATTGGATTAGAAATGTTAAAAAAAAATTAAAATTTTAGAATTCTATAATAAGGGCATGTTTAAGTGAAAACAATTATTTTTGCAAAAAAAAAAAATGTAAAATAATTTTATATGTCTATTTGAGTTGTCAATGAATGGAAAATAAAGGGACACTTTCATAAATATTATAAATTTTTAAAAATTTATAATAATTACGAAAATAATATTTTGTTTTGTTTTTTTTTTTTTCTCTTTTCTCTTATTTTCTAATTTTTGATCAACCAATATAGACAGATAAGATTATTTCACATTTTCTGCATGATGCATTTATTGTTATAAGATGATCCCAATTCTCTACAATAATGTTTATATATGATAAAATTAGAGCATAAAATAATATCTAAATTAATTGTGAAATAATTCAAATTCTTTTATAAATTTGATGCAATATTATTTAGCATTTTAAAATGAAAGCTATCTTTACAAAATAGTTGTAATTTTTTTTTTTGTTTTAAAAAATCAATTGGAAATTTTAAAATTTGTAAAAGAAAAAGTTGGGTTTTAGAGTTTAATTTTTTAATTTTCAAATAAAGGTTGGTGAATAAATAATTGTTGCCTACTTGTATTACAGAAATACAATTTGGGTTGTATGTGTGTACATTTATTTATTTATGCTCTTGGAGACTAAAGTAAAATTATAACTAATGCATTTGTGAAACAAAATGGAACTGGATTGCCCTTTGTATCTTATGCTATAACTTATAACAATTATATTTTAAATTTTAAATTTTGATAATTTAATGTGAAATATTTGCTCATTTCGAAAATTATACTGTGGCCATGTTTGATAACATAATTAACTTATCAGTCAATTTTCACTTATTTGACCACAATTAGTTGTTTGACTTGGTTAAACAATCAACAGTCGTTATATAGTGGACCGCAGTGCACGTGCACCGCGGTCAAAACGGAGCCGTTAGTTTTACGGAGCGCGCATTTTTTTGTATGTTAATTACCAACTGACACTACAGTATATCTAAATCGATACTGCCTCGCGTATTATTTTATATTATCAAATGAAACTGCAGTTATATCAAAATGATATTGTAGTTGTGGTGAAATGAAACTGATGTGTATATAAAATGAAACTGAATAACATTTCACATATTTGAGTGTATGTTGTACAATGAAGCTGTAATTATATCAAAATGGTTATGTAATTGTGTTTTAATAAAACTATAGTGTATATAAAATAAAATTAAATAATATTTTCACATATTTGAGTCTATAAATATCGAATGAAACTGTAGTTATATCGAAATGAAACTGTAGTTGTGTTGAACCGAAACTGCAGTATATACAAAATGAAACTAAATAACAGAGTTACTTTTTGCGGAAGGGTGCGACACGGCGGGAAACGAATGTCGTTTCTTTTCATTAA